GTTATTTTACAGCCAATTTTCAACACTAATCTACTGGCAGCCCCCTAACCAGAATGTTACTGTGAATTATTTAATTTTTACAGTAATAAACTGAAATTGTTCAACAGTATGAATACTGTATAATTTCAGTGTATTGCTGTCTCTGCTGCCAGTATTTTACTGTTAATTGAAAAAATACAGTATACTGTATTTTATTTTTACAGTAAGAGGCTGTAAAGTCATTTCACAGTATGAGTACTGTGGTATTACAGTGAAGTGCAGGCATCTGTGAAGAGACTGCCGGCACTTTACTGTTATTTGACAGGAAAATGTGTTACAGTGGACATAATGAGAGCCTGTGTGAAATGCAGCGTCTGGAGGGCTCTGGCGTGGCTCGTCACCATGACAACCACAGCACATCCAGAGCAGGTTGGCGCGCTGAGTGGCGACGCGTGTGTTCAATGGACAGATGGAAGATAATATGCAGCAAGGCTCCCCGGTTAAGCTGGGTTTTTTAACTTATCGGTTAATAAAACAGCAGGGCTTACTATTCAATCCGTCTACCTTAAACTTTTTGGGTTTAGGCAGCACGGATTTTTTCTCTGTCTCAGACGTACCTCCTACCCACGGTCGTAATAAGCCCACGGAGGGCCATTATTACGCATTGTGTGGACAGCACTGCACACACCTCCGCTCATCCCTTAGTGATGTTGAGCGTGAACGCGCGGTTTACGAGTCTTCTCCTAAACGGCGACATATTGAGAGCCTGTGTGAAATGCAGCGTGTGGAGGGCTCTGGCGTGGTTTGCCACCAACCACAGCACATCCAGAGAATGTACAGCCGGCGCTATCAGAGTACTGTATGGTACTCAGGGTGGCAGCGCGTGTGTCTGATGGACAGATGGATGAGCAGGCGGATGGGCAGAGGATAGTCTCTGCAGTTCGCCTCTCCCCCCCGCAGTTCTACGGGATACAGGAAGTCCTGTCATCCCGGGAACCGTGTCTCGCGCTCCATGCAGAGCGGCAGGAACTCTTGCTAAAAGAAAGCTTTTTTCCAGGGTTCCTCATGGGGAAGAAAATCAGGGTTTTTTACTCCCGGTATTTTCTAGAAGGAGACGGGGCGGGGGGAATGAGACCCATCCTCGATCTGTCAGTGTCAAACAAGGGAATGGCCTTTTCCCATGCTGACGATCAAACAGGTGTGGGAGTGTTCACCAGGGAGACTGGTTCACATCCATAATCCTGAAGGATGCATTCCTCCACGTAACCATCATCCCGAAACACAGCAATTTCCTGCGTTTCTCATTCCTGGCTCCACATACTTTTTCAAAGTGGGTGGAGACGGTTCAAATCAAATCAAATTTTATTTATATAGCACATTTATAAACGATTTTTGGTCGAGCCAAAGTGCTGTACATAAAATAAAAATAGCCTACAGTAGAGACACTTTACAGCAAATACAACAGCACAGATTGTTCAGAATATCAGTATGAGAAAAACGACACCCTCTATCCTTAGACCCTCACATCGTACAAGGAAAAACTTCCAGAGAAAGGTTGGAGCAGCTACTCAGAATGGGGATGAGTGTTATTTTACCTGGACGACCGGCTGTGGCTGGCTCGCTCCAGGAAGGGAGGAAGCGGCTTACAGACGATACAGTTCGTATCTCATCTGTCTAAACCTGGGTTTCATTATCAACTGGAAGAAGAGCTGTCCTCGTCCCTCCCAGGTTATCTTTTTAACTGGGAGTGGAATTGAACTCAGAGAGAGGAGAAAGTGACAGCTCTCCTCCGGCTCGTCACACCCCGCTGGGCGGTGACACCCCTCTCCGTGATGCAGCTGTTAGACATGATATCAGCTGGTCACATGGTGATCCCCCTGGGTCTCCTTCATAGTGAGGAGACTCCAGAGGTGGTTTATTCGCCTGTGCATCGACCCCGTGCGTCAGAGGAGACGCATGGTGTACATTCCTCCTTCCGTGGTTTTGGATTTTACCTACTGGAAAAATCTCCACGTCCTGTCAGTGGGGGTGCCCCTGAGCAGAGTGACGTCACACACGGCAGTGTTCAGACGCATCTCTCGCAGGCTGAGGAACGTGCATGTCGCAGGCAGTGGGGGGGACAATCAACATATGTTGATTCAAACAGACAACAAAGCAGCGGCGGCCTACATAAATCGCCAGGGAGGTGTTCGATCAGCGCAGCTGCTGAACACACATCCTACACAGCCAAATGGACAATGTTCCGTGTGGTGTGCAGGGAAAGCCTGGACCCCGTTGGGCCCCCTGCCTCGTGCTGTCGTTCCTCCAGCTGTTGCTGGACAGGAATTGGCTTATAGCACGGTAAAAACATATGCTGCTGCCATTTCATCTTGCCACGTAGGTTTGGGCTCAGCACGGTGTTTAGTCACCCTCTGACAAAACGTTTTCTACGGGGAGCACAGAGACTCAGACATGTGTCACGCGCTTTGGCGCCTCAATGGGTTTTTGGCTTTAGTGTTACACGCACTGAGTAAAGCCCCATTTGAACCTTTAGATCAGGTCCCCCTAAAGTTCTTGTCAGCCAAAGGAGCTCTGCTCTTGGCTCTGACATCAGCTAAAAGGGTGAGTGATTGGTCTGCTCTCTCGGTGGCTCCGTCATGTCTCCAGATCCAAGGAGATGGCAGTTCAGCTGTGTTGCGCCCAAACCCGGCTTTTATGCCAAAGGTGATCACAAGCTTTTTTAGATCGAGAATGATACCTTTGGATGGCTTCTTTCCTCCTCCTCACACATCAGAGGAGGAAGCCACATCTCATCTCCTCCCGTGCGCGCGCTGTCATGCTATATTGCACGCACGGCTGCTTTACGCAGTTCCCAGCGTCTGTTTGTGCATTACAGAGAGCGCTCAATAGGGCAGCCTCTGTCGGCACAGCGCCTGTCACACGGGCTGTGTGAGGCTGTGTCACAGGCGTATTTCTCCTCTGGGTTGGATCCCCCGGAGAACATCAAAGCGCACGGCACCAGAGGAATTTCCTCCTCCACGACGTTGCACGGAGGAATGACAGTGGAAGACATTTGCACTGCTGCATCTTGGTCTTCCCCCTGTTCTTTTATTCGTGTTTATTTTGAGGGATGTCTCCCATTCCTCTCTGACACACTCAGTCAGTACTGAGTGTCCTGTCAGAGTGAGTAATGTCAGGGACTCAACTGCGTGCCCTCTCTCCTGCCTGTCGGCACTTATGGCGCGTTTCCACTGCAGGCCTCGCTCGGTTTGGTTAGGCCTTATTAGGCCCGGCTCACTTTAATGCTGCGTTTCCGTTACAGTTTAGGAACTGGGGCAGTTACTATAGTAACGCAGTGTAGGCGGAGCCGTGACGTCATCTTCAATGAGAGCCCCAGAAAAACAACACAGCCGTTAGCTCTTAGCACTCAGAGCTCACAGCTCCTCATATCTGTTCAGAAACTTGACAAAAGTTAAACAAGTACAAACCACAGACTGCCTGTGTCATGGCGAATACAGTCGCTGGTTTATTTATGTCTGTATAGGCCGTTGTTGTGAGTGTGGACGGTCGGAGCATATATAACGTTAGCTTAGCCAAGCTACATTTAGAAAACACGCATTTTAAAAGGGTTTTTCGCCTGCCGTCTGTCTGCAGACTTGTCAAAGCATTAATTCATGGTTTTTACTAACCGGTATCAGTATGTTGTTACTTCGGCATCATTTTGAAACGTGTATTACAATTAATTCACGGTCAAATATGTTCATCTTGTTGTAGTTGTAGCCCCCTTGCCAGCGATTCTCTCTCTAGTTTAGCATACTCAGCCCGACTCAGCCTGGTTGTTCCTGGCCCTAGAACCACGATTTAGTCGGGCCAGAAAAAAGGTGAAAAAGTAGCTTTGGGCCAAAACTAGGCCAAGTGGAAACGCAACCAAAAACGGGCCCCGCACGGCTCGGCACGCTTAAAGCGAGCTACCCGCTGCAGTGGAAACGCGCCATTAGAGAGCTGCCCTTTTCCCCCTCTTTGATCGTTTTAACAAGTGGGACTTTGGTCTCTACTTTTTATAAACGACAGGTAGCCTATTTAGCCTACCTTCTTTCCCGTATGGAGAATATTCATTTTTTAAATGCTATATTCCCTGGGAATGTGATGCTCCATTTACGCATGGCGAAATGGACATGGGTTATTAACTGAGTAGGTGTGTTTTGTGCTTCTGGTAACGGACGGAACCAGTGGGGCGTAGACGACATCCTGCTTTGCCCTTAACCCAATAGCGATAGCCTTAGAGGGCGAAGCCTTATACGAAATAGAACTGGGGTTACGTACTGTAACCCAGCTTCTATGAGTATAGGCGCAGCCCTCTAAGGTTTGGGCCCCACTGGCTCTGCGAATAGCTGAAGAAAAGCTGTTTGTGTGGGAGCAGATTGTAGGGACTACTTCCTATTTATACGGAAGTGAGCCCGGAGGTGGGGCCCACGTCATAGGTGGGCGTGGATTAAGTCCGTCAGTGCTGCACACGTGCAGAGGGATTACCCAATAGCGATAGCCTTAGAGGGTTGCGCCTATACTCATAGAAGCTGGGTTACAGTACGTAACCCCAGTTTCCTGCTTATGTATGCGTTTTTGGGTTGTTCCGAGTTTGCACCTGCCGGCCACCGTAATTAATCATATCTTAATCCCCGTTTATTAAACCCAATCACATAAACCAAACTGTAGGCTGGCAGTCGTGTGCAGATATTATATAAAGATTGAAGAAAGGCTTCATTGAATATTAAGTGTGGGGTTCGGCTGAATTATGAAACATGTTCTTTTTTTTAACTTTTGAAGTGCATATAAATTGACACATACATTTACAATTTAACCTTACATTTCTTGCATTGTGTACATTTGTGTTTTGGATCTATATTTCTGCACTCTTTCCCACTTCACGCTGCACAGCAGTTTACTTCTGGCTTAAGTTGTATCTTATCATACAATCTGCTGCAACTCTAAACGAAGAACAGTTCATTTTGAAAGGTTTATATAAATCCTTGTATGTTTCCCACCTGAGCGCGCTCACTGCAGATGGCCAGCGACTGTCTAAATGAGGTGCGTTTGTTTTGTTTCCCGGCAGACGTCAGGTTGATCTCTGACCCCGCCCTCAGCTGCACCGTCCTCTTCCCAGTCAGCTCCAGCTTCTGCACACCTCGCTCCAATTCCAACGACTTCCTGTCTGGAACACAAACACATGATCACACAGTCATTATAAAGTCTACAGTCATTACCTAAGGTGTTTATTATTTTCAAAAATATTTAACATATTAATGTAAGAGTCTGGAATTTCACCAGCAACGCTTTAACGTGTGGGTCCATGGTCTGTTTGTCCATAGCACTGGCAGAGGTCTGTGCTCTACATTTAGATCTACATCTGCTCATTTTTATTGTAAAGAATTAAGAAAATAATTGGTGATCCTAAAAAAAACAGTGGAGGGCTTGAACATGAGAGTTTGTAATCTGCAGAAAAACTGCTCTGTTATATGTTGAATATATACAGAATATACGTCAAATTAGTAAGAAAATATATGTATTTTTTTATTCTAAAGTGATTAATTGGTGTGGGCCAAGGAAAAATCTAAAATCTTTTGGAACAAATCCTCATCACACAAACAGGCTTGCCGGAGGTCTGTGAGAACTATTTCTTGAAAATAATAATATCATAGATACGAATATTATATTTCACTTTTGCCAATAGATCCCCTTAAATATTACAAACAGGCCCTTTATCTTAAAGATGGACCAGAGACTAATGACCAAATTCACAGAACTCTCTAATATTATCAACCTGACCTCAGATCAGCATATGCAGCTGTAGCTTGTGAGGGACAGAAAAGTCAGCATTTGTTGGTTAAAACTTCTCACATAATTTGAACTGTGGGGGCTAAACTATCAGAGGACAATGCTGAGATATATTTAAAGTGGATGTATTCTTCTCACTTTCAGGTTCATATCAGTTAGAGTTTCTCTACTGGGACATGTCTCCATGCTTTAATGTTCAAAAAGCTCTTTATTTGTCTTATACTGCCTGTGCTGCAGCACCTCTTTTCACCTTCTGTCTGAAACCAGAGCCCAGTCTGCTCTGATTGGTTAGCTGGCTGGCTCTGTTGAGATTGGTCAACTGCACAGCACATCACCAGGACGGAGCTGCCATCCATGGAGGACCTCTACTCCCAGCGGCTCAGGAAGAAAGCCCTCAGGATTATCAAATACCCCCATCTCCCCAGCCACAAACTGTTCTGTCTGCCGTCTGGCAGGCGGTACCGCAGCATCCGGACTAAAACCACCACTCAGGGACAGTTTCATCCCACAGGCCATAAGACTGTTAAACACCTGAACTTTTGAAAGAATATCCATAACATTCATCTATTTGTCATATTGCAATTTACTTATTTATCTAAATAGTTATCAACATAATAACCATATTTAATTTCATCTTACTGTACAGTATTGAATTTGACATTTGGTTCTTGTATATATCATATTCAATATAGGCCTACGTGTAATCCTCCTGAGACCCAGAAAGAAAAAGGTTTCAAATTTTCTTTAGGTTGGTGTTAACATAATGACTAACACAAACTAAACAAATATATTTGTATTTTTGTTTTATTGTGTGTCCTTTGTAGAGGACATCGGGTGTTAGTTATGCGAAGCATAGTATACAAACAACATTAACATACAAGTAAATTTAGACAACATTAGAGCGAAACAACTCAATGCAACAAATACTGAGCCCTCATTTGTAGTACTCCATCCTTTTCTGAAATGCAGAGATACATCTGACACTTGAGGCACTTGATGTATGTTTTCCCACTGCATCCGTCTGCCATGAACCCTACAGAAGCCTACGTGTTAGTTTGGCCCATAGTGGACTCCATTTGTGTTGTGTAAAATGGGGGGAAATAAAAAGTGAGCAAATCTGCATGTCCTCCTCAGAGGACATTCATAAAAACATTTAGTTTTAGGTCAAATAAGTATTACACTGCTCTGAAAACTCACTACACTAACTCCTAAGATGTTCCCTTACTATAATTAATTAAAAATATTGACCTCACAACACTGGTAATTACAAAATTACAAACTTACCATTTCTCTTTCTATAAATAGTGCTTGTGTTGATGTACGCCATTTTGAAATACAATGAAATTATCTTTTTCAAAGCCACACCCCCACATATGTCATATGTTTGAAAAGCCCAGGATGTCCTCTGTGGAGTACAATTGGATTTAATATTGTGGCATGTATAATATCAAAGTAATGGACCAAAACCCAATGTGCTCCACAGAGGACAAACATGAATGGGTGGGTCTCTGGAGATAGACTTGTTGCACTATTTCTTATTTGTATTTTATTATATATGTTGCATTGTTGGAGGAGCCCGGGTCATAAGATTTTCATTGCCATTTCTACACTGTAGCTTATGTGCATGTGACAATAAAACCTTTGAATCTTGAATCATGTCCAATGTGTTGGACATGCACAAAAACACACTACAGGCAAATTAAAGCCCTAAAAAACCCAATAGGGCCTTTTTAAATGAGAACATCAACTGTAAACTATAAAAGTGAGGTTAGGCCTTCATTTTTTCTGTTGGCAGAGAGTTTATTCATAATCTGAGACTCACTGTGGCTGCTGAATGTGGTGTTGCTGTAGGTCACAGAGTCTTTAGATGACACTGAGCAGGGGCGAACTGAATCCTGAGAGCTGTGAATCTGAAACATCACAAACACTGATCATTATCATCATTAGCTGTCATAATCAAAAAGCATGGAAACCTAAACATATTTAGAATAATGGAAAATGGGTGAAAATAAATAAGAATCTATTTACTATTTTGGCATATTGTTATTTTGTTAGACACTTAACACTTAATCCATTCTTAACTCAAATTACAATTTTTGCCCCAATACTGTAGAATAGGGGTCTTTAATATCTTTCAGGCCTCTTAAAAAGAGATGGATGCAGGGACCCCCAAATACATGTGTAAAATGTCATGAGTTTCATAATGTTTTTTTTAAAATTGTTTGTAGGGTGGTTGCCTAGGGCACCAGATCTGGGGGGGCGCTGCGCTGGTAGCTCTGGGAGGAAAACATTTTTGATCGTTGGTGCTCATCCTAATTTTCAGCCTAGATGTAACAACATTCATAATTAAGTAAATGTAACACCCTTTTCACCCCGGTTACACTTTTCATTTGCAGATAATGTATTGATTGTTTATTATGAATTTGGAGTGTTTTTGGGTGGAGCTTAAATACTTGGCCATATGTAGTGTACCATGTGATCCAGTATGGAGGTGTTGGAATAGATGGGCTGGTCTTGATATGTTCCACTCAGATGGAAGGGGTCGTCCATGTATGTGTTGGAGTTGGGAAACCTTTGAGTCTGCAGCCCACTGAGAAGAGGGGAACAAACATAAAAACTACAGGACAAGAAGAAGATGTGGGGTGCCTCAAGGCTCTGTTCTTGGACCATTTCTCTTTTACATTACATTACATTTCACTGACCCTTTTATCCTAAGTGACATACATTTCAATACTGTAAACATGCCTACGACAAATAGGATCAAGTATCTTGCCAAAGGACACTTCAACATGTTGACTTCAGGGGGTGGGAATAAAACCGCCAAACTCCTGATTTTCAGAACAGCGTCTCACATAAGTTGCAGTACTAATATTTATATTGTTATAGTTGGTTGAAGTGGAGCTCATTTTAACAATATCTAATGATCTTTTCATTATGGATTAACCTGCTGATTATTTTCCCATCAATCGACTGAAGGTTAGGGTTAGGTTTTGATAGTGAGAAATGCTTTCACAAATTACCCGGAGCCATTGGCGGCCGGCCCATAGGGGTGCTAGGGGCGCCGCCCCCCCTCTTCCCACATGTTTGATTGTCATTAAAAAAATAAATAAAAATGTTTTATTTTTATTTTTTATTTTTAATGAACAAGGTAAATATTATATAGTTGGTATCAGTAAAATGTATAATCTAAAATAAAATCTCGTTTAAAATTGTGTTACGATGTCTAAAGTTACTGATGTTTCCTGTCTGGCCGCAGCGTGTATCATTACCCTCTCTCGTCTGGGCGCTAAGAAAGGAGCCCTCACTCAGCCCCAGCAGCATCCAACACATTGCTGACTGTTGCTATCTGTAAACTACGCCGCCGAAACATAATTTCAGCCAATCAGCGTCGTCAGATCTGATGCTCAGAGGGCGGCAATTTCAGCGCCCGATGCAGTCTGTGAGTTGGTTATGGCTAGAAAGGATCCGTCTTGTGTAAAACTCTCGCGAGAGTTTGCGAGTCACGTGGCTGAATGTTTACGTTTGACAGGCAGCCTTTCAGTTACGATCGTTAACATCAGTGGGCCACAGCAAATGATGGTGAGAAGCTAAACTATCTATTAATGATGTCAATTACAGGGAGTGTGATTGTAACTGTGTGTGTGACTAGCTGGATGCAAACAGGTAAACGCTGTCTTTTGTTTCCCATGCTTGCTCTTCAAACAGCCGGGGACAGATACTATGTGCCCGTGATAAATAAACACACACACACATATTATTGTATATAGTTGAGTTTTGACAGCATCCATCAAACTAGATTTTTTGCCTTAATGGTCTGTTTTCTAATATTTCTGTGTTTCTGAACCACGTCTGTGTCCGCATATAATGTTCGTATTTAGTCTCCTGATTTTAAATGGGAATTCAATAATTTGAGTGTTCCCAAATAACCGGTGTTCTGCAGTTTGTGTGGGCCTACTGTACTGTTGCACAGTTTACTCTAGAAACTATGTCCAGGACAAGGTATTTGGAAGTGTTGGAAGATTCATAGCGAACCACACTGAAGATTATGGAGCTATTGATCAGTCTTCTCATATCTCTAACATCACCAGAAGTCAGAATTTAAGGGATAATTTCTCAAAAATGTTCCCCGTGTGGTTTATTCACCATTACAATAGCCCCACCTAAAATAATTTCCACCAGCCGCCACTGCCCGGAGCCCAAAGTGACAATGTTTCTTTAGGCAAGGCAAGGCAAGGCAAGTTTATTTATATAGCACTTTTCAACACAAGGCAATTCAAAGTGCTTTACAAAAAATGAAAGACATTAAGAAAATGGCATTTAAAATCACTCATTAAAAAGAAAAGCTAATAAAATAAACATTAAAAGAAAAAATACATGGATAAAAGTTACAGTGCAGTCAATTAAACATTAAAAGAAAAAAGTACATGGATCAAAGTTACAGTGCAGTCTAAGATATGAATAGTTCAATTAAAAGCAGCGACAAAAAGAAAAGTCTTCAGCCTGGATTTAAAAGTAGTCCAACCAACAGTCTCAAACTCAACAGTATACTGAATACATTGACATTAATCAGATAGTTTAAAGTAAAAAGAGAAAATCTTCACATTTGTAAAGCTAGAACCATGAAATGTTTTTTACATGAACAATTAAACCTTCAACATATCTTCTAGTTTGTCCTTTGACTAATTAATTTATAGAGTATTTATTGTAAACTACTTGGGTCTGGTGTGGGGTAAGTAAAGCTTTGAGATACATTTAGTCGACTTGACGTATAGTGTGGCATAAAAAGACAAATAGCACATTTTGTTTTGTTAACACTTTGACAACATACACCAACTGTTTTACCTTAGAGCTTTATCTGTGTTCTCCTGAGTTTTGGAAGCTCCGTCCTGCAGCAGCTTTAACCAGCACTCCTTTTCACCTGAGCTACTCACCTGAAGGAAGGAAGGAAAAAATGAAAGAAAGATTATAAAAATATAATTATTCCTGTTTCTTTAAGAGATGTCTTCTCTAGAGCATATTTCTAGCCTATTCTAAACCCTTTTGTAAATTATGTATATTGGAAGAGGGTCTGCTTCCTCATAAAAACCTAATCGTGACTAAGGATAAAAAGGCGTCCTTCCAACTTGTTCATAAACTCATAAATATTACCATGCCAATATACATGTACATAAAAGCAAACTGCTCATTCTATAATACATTTCATTGGTCCAATCTTCCAAAGATTAACTGGTAAAAAAAATCTAAATTGTAAATGTAACAATTAAAATAAATCTTATTTTGTTGTTTCCTTTAAGGATACCAGTGTCACGATTCTCATGTTATGTCACGTTTTTAGTTTTGTATGTCTAGGTTTGGGTTTATTTTGCTGTTCGGTTCTCCCTGTCTCCCTTGTGTATTGTCTGGTCCCTCTCTCTGTGTTTTTCCTCCCTGTCGTTAGTTTCCCTGGTGTGTCTAATTGTCTGATTGTGTTCTCCTGTTGTCCTTGTGTTTCTCCTCCCCTGCCCGGCTGTTTCTCGTCTAGTGATTACCCCTCCCTGTATTTAGTCTTGTCTCTTCCTGTGTTCAGTGTTGGTTCGTCTTTTGTTGGTGACTGAGTTCACCGGTGAGTGTTCTGTTTTGTATGAGTTTGTTTCATTATCCTTGAAATAAAGGTTTATCAGAGTTATCTGCATTTGGGTCCTGCTTCCTTCACTCAACCGTAACAGTACGAACCAACCAAGAAATGGACCCAGCAGATGATCCATTTGAGGTGGAACTACAACATTTTTCCTTTTATTTGGCTTGCTGCTATGATTGGTGGAAGGGAGCGTCCAGTGTTCTGCAGAAGGAGGCCGCTCTGGTAGAGGCGCACCGGTTGGCTATGGAGAAACCAGGCTTGGTGAAATTCTTACCTGGCTGGATTTTGGACTTCCTCTGGGTGTGTGATTTCCAGCCTGTTGACTACAAACGTCTCAGTGTGTTCCGCCCGGAGCCAACCCCTGCTTCTTCTCCATGTCCTGCTCCTGTCCAGGAGCCGTTCTCGGGAACTCGTCTGGCTTTCGGAGGTCCACGGAGCCTCCAAAAGGCTCCTAAGAGAAGGAGTCACAAGTCCAGGCTAGCAGCCCGAGCCCCAAGAGCCATGGTTCCAGCCCCAGTTCCGGCCCCAGCACCCATAGTTCCGTGCTCCAGTGCCGGCCCACACAGCCATGGTACTGTGCTCCAGTACCATCTCACATAGCCATGGTTCAGTGTTCCGGTTCCTTGCCCAGCGGCCATGGTTCCGGCTCCAGTGCCGGCCCCAGCAGCCATGGTTCCTGCTCCAGAACCGGACATTACAGCCATGTTTCCGGCTCCAAAACCGGCCCACACAGCCATGATCCAGGCTTCAGTTCCGGTTCCCACAGCCATGGTTCCGGCTCAAGTACCGGGCCCAGCAGCCATGGTCCCGACCCCGGCTCCTCGTCGCCTGTTGGCTCTCCGGCCGACGCCAGCTCCCGAGGCCTGTCGGCATACTGGCTGACTCAGCACCTCGTCTCCTGTTGGCTCTCCAGCCGACGCCAACTCCCCGTGTCCTGTCGGCGTACAGACCGACACAAGTCCCCTCTCAGGTCCCCTCTTGAGTCGCCTCTCAGGTCCCCTCTCGAGTCGCCTCTCAGGTCCCCTCTCGAGTCGCCTCTCAGGTCTCCTCTCGAGTCTCCTCTCGAGTCTCCTCTCGAGTACCCTCTCGAGTCACCTCTCGAGTACCCTCTCGAGTCACCTCTCGAGTACCCTCTCGAGTCACCTCTCGAGTACCCTCTCGAGTCACCTCTCGAGTCCCCTCTCGAGTCTCCGTCGAGTTCCCTCTCGAGATCCCTTTCGAGTCACCTCTCGAGTTCCCTCTCAAGCCCTCTCTCGAGTCCCCACTCAAGTGCCGTTGGAGGTTCCGCTGGGGGTCCTGCCAACTCCATATCCTGTCCCGTTGGGGATCCCGCCGACTGCTCTCCTGCCGGGGGTTCTGCCAACTCCATGTCCTGTTCCGTTGGGGGTCCTGCCGACTACTCTTCTGCCGGGGGTCCTGCCAATCCTATGGCCTGTGCCGTTGGAGGCCCCGCCGACTACTCTTCTGCCGGGGGTCCTGCCAACCCGATGTCCTGTGCCGTTGGAGGTTCCGCTGGGGGTCCTGCCAACTCCATGTCCTGTCCCGTTGGGGATCCCGCCGACTGCTCTCCTGCTGGGAGTTCTGCCAACTCCATGTCCTGTCCCGTTGGGGGTCCCGCCGACTACTCTTCTGCCGGGGGTCCTGCCAACCCTATGTCCTGTGCCGTTGGAGGTCTCGCCGACTGCTCTCCTGCCGGGGGTCCTGCTAACCCTATGTCCTGTGCCGTTGGAGGTCCAGCCGACACCTGTTTCGTCGGGGGTCCTGCCAACTCCATGTCCTGTCCCGTTGGGGGTCCCGCTGACTACTCTTCTGCCGGGGGTCCTGCCAACCCTAGGTCTTGTTCCGTTGGAGGTCCCGCCGCCACCTGCCTCGCTGGGGATCCTGCCAACTCCTGGTCCTCTCCTGTGGGGGATTCTGCCGAAGCCTGTCCCACCGGCTCCGGTTCCTGCCCGGCCTCCGGAGCTATCCCGTCAGCGCCTTCCTGCCCGTCCTCCGGAGTTGTTCCGTCGCCGCCTGCTTCGCCCTCGAGCCCTGCCCCCTGAGAGCCGCGGTCTTCGGCCTCGAGCCCGGCCCTCTGAGTGTCGCGGTCTTCGCCCTCATGCTCGGCCCCCTGAGAGCCGCGGTCTTCGACCTCGAGCCCGGCCCCCTGACTCTTCCTGCCGCTGCCTTCGCCCTCATGCTCGGCCCCCTGAGTTCGGCCCCCTGAGTTCGCCCGCTGTGGCCAACCCTATGTCCTGTGCCGTTGGAGGTCCAGCCGACACCTGTTTCGTCGGGGGTCCAGCCAACTCCATGTCCTGTCCCGTTGGGGGTCCCGCCGACTACTCTTCTGCCGGGGGTCCTGCCAACCCTAGGTCTTGTTCCGTTGGAGGTCCGCTGTGCTCCTGGGCTGTCAGCTCAAAACCCGTCCTCCAGTCCCCCTCCACCCACCCTGGTGGCCCTAGTTTTGTGCTTGTATTGACCTTTTTGGTCAATACAAGCAAAAAACATTTTTTACATTTAAATGAAGATAACTGTGTATTTTATAACATTTTAGTATGATCTACCTCATACATTTGTTATTGTTCTATTTGTATGGTATACATCTCCCCTTATGCATAATTAATCTGTAATACGTTCCCTGTATTCCTGCCTTCCAGCTCACCTCCAGCACGGCCACCTGGTCACCGAGCATGCTCAGTGTGATCCTGTAGGAGTGGTCGGTGTCAGGGCCCGCTCTGACCTCACAGCCTCTGAGCTGGACGGTGTACTGAGGTGACCTCTTCACCTCCTCCCTCTGCTCCTCTTCCTCCTCCTCCTCCTCCTCCTCTCCAAACATGATTAGTAGACCCGTCTCCACCCGACACCGTAAACTCTGCCATTGACAGTTCATCAGCACGCTCAGGAAACCTGTCAAACACAATAACGTCTGAGATAACTTATGCATATAATATAATAAAAGATGTATCCCAAAAATAGATCAGATACAATTACAAAAAAGTAAATAAGTACTAAATGATTTAGTATATAACATAAAAAATCGAAATAATACAAATATAAAACATCTAAAAAAATATGAGATTAAAGGTCCCATGTCATGCTTTTCCGGTTATTACCCGTCCCCTTGTGTGTTATGAAGGTTTTTATGCATGTAAACGGTCTGCAGAGTCACAAACCCTCAAAGTGCACCCTGTAGGGAGTAAAACTCTAACACAGGAAAGACCTGTCTATGCTGCCCCAGAACGCCTCGTTGGAGATTTCTCTTTTTCTTCCTGGGTACAGTGACGTGCCCATACCCAAATGGACCCATTGGTCCAAATGGACCAATCCGTGGAGCCATTACGTTACGTCCGCGGAGCCGTTAGGTTAAGTCCGTGGATTGGTAGGACTTCCTCACACACACACTCAATCTTTTCTCAGCTGCAACTCCGCCGATTTCTCCTCCCTGAGACGGCGAGGCTGTTAGTCGGTGTGTGAGCAAACACACAAACTCCCAGCCAGGCTGCGGGTGTGTGTGTGTGTTCGGGCTGGGTTTCGCTGTGTCTCGCAGATGGCCACTGGGCTCATAGGGAGCTGTGCTCCAAGAAGCCGTGTAGGACAGAGAGTGAATACACATACTTTACAGAGACGCTGTATGAGAAACCAATGTGAGTTTGGAAAATTGCACAATGTAAATCTATTCTAGTAGACCTCAACAATGGAATTATGATCAGTAGAAATGGCCATGACATGGGACCTTTAAGGTAAATACAGCAAATACATGAATAAAGTAAAAATTAATAAAACAAATATTTAAAATGAAATAAAAGTGACAAGTAGAGAAATAAAATGAAAGGTTTCTTAGGACATGTATACAAATAAATAAATTGAATGCAATAAAAACATATACAATTAAATAAAAATGAACACTATAATAATAGAGCATACAAATAATTTGTAAAATAGTTTATGACACAGATCAAAATTAGCTCCTACTCGACTTACTACAATACTGAAGTATGCCTAATGAGCACCGAAACTTTTGATACCTTAAAGACATTTGATACTTTTGAGAAGTCACATCTTACAGCAATACAAGTTTAACTATTAAATAATGCAAAACAATGAATGGCTCCGAAATTAAGTTTGAAGTATTTGGACAAACCAAAGTAATGGACACATGATAGTCGTAATCATTTTATTTAAAAAAATAACAATATCAGTACCTTTGTCTTTGTTGAGGCTACAGACAGCTGAAGCTCTCTCCTCCTCAGAGTCAGTCTGGACTAGACTGGACTGAAGAAACACAACAGAAACAGAAACTTCAACTTTATTATTGAACATTTGTCTAACTTATTTGGTCATGTATATAACTCAATGCTTTAGAAAGACATTATCATTTTCCATGACCAGAGTGCAGCCAACAGGCCATCATTTACATGTGTCTGTTTTTGCCTATATAAATAAAGAAAATATACAAACAACAATTGTAAAGCGCCTTTTCTTTTGTTGTTTGTACGAGACATTATGAAAATCACTGAAATCTGACCACGTACTAAAACTCCATCTCATGTGTTGAATGCATCAGCAATTAGTGTTTGAGTCTTATAAGACTCAACAACTCTTTATGAGACATTCTATTATTTTCTTTCTTTAATTTGTTACCGTCTGAAGGTTTTTGTGTAAAGTTAGGGAAAAGAGAATAAGGAGAAGTTCTCACCCTGCCAGACAGCAGCGTGTCTGATCTGATCAGAGACAAGGAGCTCTGAGTGTCCCCTTCTCCTCCAACACTCACGTCCTCTATCACCTGCACACACACACACACACACACACACACACACACACACCACACACACACACACACACACACACACACACACACCACACACACACACACACACACACACACACACACACACACACACACACACACACACACACACACACACACACACACACACACACACACACACACAGTATATATAAATATGGGGTTGGGCCCCACCAAAGGGTCCCCAGATTATTAGTGATATGAATACTGGCAGAGGTAAGAAGAAAAAACGAAATACTAAGAAAACTCAAATGTCTTTTTACTTTCTGGACTGAACATTATTTGTTGTGAAAGATTGATATTTGAACAGTTATTGAAGTAAAGTAACATTTTCCATTAAAACCTATCAGAACCTCTCACACTCAGCCTGATAACTGTGGGATAACTGCTTTGCTCTTGACTTCATATCCTCTGATGCAATATTTTCCATACAATAACAATCCATTATTAGGTACCCCAAAAGCTAAACACACGTTGTACATACAATCAAATTATAGCTGTCCGTAACTTCGAACGTGTTCTTATAAGCACAGTAACTAATACATTTACATAATCACTATCCACCAGCAGCTGTTAATAGAGCGGTGCAGGAATGAGTCTTAAAACCCAGAAATGAGTTAGCATTTTACCACATCTGAAACTTATATGTTTCTTGAAAACGGCGGTTGCTAACAAGTGACTTAGTGAGACTAGTAAATAAATAGTGATGTTACGTTCGCTAACGATCCGATTCTTTTGAACGGTCTTTGGTACGAAGGGAACCGAGTCGTACTTGGTGAGAGCCGTTCTTTTTATTGTTGGTTCACTGCCATAAATCCACTCGCCTTTAAAGGTCCCATGTCATGCTTTTCCGGTTATTCCCTTGTGTGTTATGTAGCTTTTTCTGCATGTAAACGGTCTGCAGAGCCACAAACCCTCAAAGTACACCCTGTAGCGAGTAAAACTCTAACACAGAAAATACCTGTCTATGCTGCCCCAGAACGCCTCGTTGGACATTTCTCTTTTTCCATTTGTTTATTTCGGGAACCGCATGACGTCATGTGGTTCCCGGAACCAAAATGGACCAATCCGCGGAGCTCCTCACACACACCAGGATCCCTTGGCGTCACTATCAAACACAGTGGGGGGACCTTTAGCGTACATTTTCAACTAACAGGGAGTCCCATTGACTTGCATAGAGCTCCCTGGTTGGTAATAGACGAGTTGGGACCGCAGAGAAATGCTCTCCGCAGACCCATTCTCACAGCGTTATTAACCTTTTCTTACTCAATATCAAGCCACACTTATTGTTTTTACTTCGGCTGTGAGTGTTTGTGTGTGCTCAGGATGAGTTTCACGCTGTCTAGCTGTATCGCCGACCCGGAAACCACACCAGTAAGCCAGCCCAGTGAGCAGCGAGCCTCGCAACGTCCCGACCAATCAGAGCACACTGGGCTCACAGGGAGGGGGGGGGGGGGGGGGGGGGGGGCAGGAGCTCCAACAAGCCGTTTAGGACAGAGAGTGAATACACATACTATACACAGAGATGCTGTATGAGAAACCAATGTGAGTTTGGAAAATTGCACAGTATAAATCTATTCTAGTAGACCTCAACAATGGAATTATGATCAGTAGAAATGGCCATGACATGGACCTTTAAAGGAACTTGCTTTCCTGAAGGCACATTTGCCATAGATATAGATGATGGCATAACGCATGCTGCTTGAGCAGTAGTTTGGCTGGCTGAGACATGTAGCAAGTTATACATTATTCTGTGAGAAAAAGTAGATTTCTGGCAATACAGTCAATCATTATCATAGTGATTATTTCACAGATAAACCTATTAACCCCCCCCCCAAAACTGCTTTTTTGAACGGCTCTCGGAAAGGACCGGAGCCATAAGATCCGGCTCCCGTAATTCCCATCACTACTAGTAAACGTCATTGCGCCAAACATTAGCCGCCTTAGCTTAGCGCTGGTGACGTGTAGTTATGGGACTGTAATGTAGTTAAAAATCCTAAAGTGGAGATTAACCTGCTGAAAGAAACATGTAAGTATCTTGCACGTGTGTTTAAGACGATCTTTTATTCCAAAATACAATGAAAACATCTCATTGTTTTCTGTCAACAGAGCCTTTGTGGTGCTAACGTTGGTGATGGCCTACCTTCCTCCACTCGGCGGCCTGCTGGAAGCTGCTGTAGCCCAGCACCAGGCTCTCTGAGCCCAGCAGCAGCAGCTTGAGCTGGTGCTGGATCTTCCCGCTGTTCTTCGACTTGTAGACCAGCTGACAGCCACGCAGACTCAACTCCAGCTGAGGCAGCAGGTCCTGGGCACACTTATAACACTGACACACACACACACACACACACACACACACACACACACACACACACACACACACACACACACACACACACACACACACACACACACACACACACACACACACACACACACACACACACACACACACACACACACACACACACACACACACACAATGATCTATTACAAGGAACTGCGAAGACATCCTATAGTGTACAGTATTGTTTGCGTATTGTGTCTCGCATAATATCAGAGCATGGTAAGTCTGATAAGGAGTTGGTTCAAAATGAGCAGAGTATTTTCTTTTATTAGTTGTTTTGTCAAAGTTTGTACATTTACTACATTTCCCATTTGAAAAAAGAAAAAAGTGGGTAAAAATATCCTTGGACTTTCTCAGGAAATTCAAAAGCTGTTTTTCCAGAGGACAGTTGTGCGCCACTTCAGAGGACATGTGCTGCATCAACAAGAAGTCGGATTTACAAATGAGACGGTACTAAAAATAATTCCTAGGCTGAGTTTCTTACTCACTAGCTTCACTGAAACAATGATTGGAATCAAACTGATTTTAGACTATGAGTCAACTACTTATAAGACTCCAATAATTGGAAAACTAGGAGCATCATGCATCAATGTTAAAGCAGGCTGTTATTTAATAGTTGGTTTATATGGAGCACATTTTGAACCTTTAACTATGATTTTTTAATTATTATTGATTAATCTGCTGAATAGTTAGTCCAATAATTGTATGAAAACAATGATTCAAGTAGTAATCAGCTGATTACGTTTAAGGCTTATGACTTTCATGTGTTTTGAATTTATACAATGTTTCATTTGTAAAGTAACAAATATAAATGTAGGTGAAGTAAACTATCCTAAAATTATAATACTTAGTGATGGGAAGTAAGTACACTACTAGAAAATGTTTGAGACTCTTGTATTCTTATTGAGTATTCAATGTTTATGTTTATACCTCTACTCCCACCATTGTGCATTTTGACTTATTTACAATATATAAAATATAATTAAGTAAGATTTGATTATATATTATTAAATAAATCTACCCATCTAACGTTACAACGAATAGCTCCACCTTTACCATCAAGTGATTAATGCATCAATAAATACAGTATATCCAATACTATGATGTACACTTTTTTCATATAATATATAATAAGTCGTTTTTTATTTTGGTCCTTTAAGTACATTTTCCATCCTTTATACTTCTTCTTCTTACAATAGTTTAACCACGTGGTATCGCTACTTGTAACAGTTATGAGTATACACTGAACAACTAAAACGTTGACTTTAATTAAATGTATTAGGTTAGTTGAAAGCAATAATATTAAGTTTAAATAAAAAATATTTGGTTCAACTTAATATTATTGCTTTCAATTTACCAAATACAGTTATGTGAAATTTGTTGACAAAATACATTTAATTAAAGTCATTGTTTCACTTTTTTCAGTGTACTTCTTTCACCTCTGGATATACTTGGGTAAAGTAACCCAAATGTTATCACCTTAAACTTGGGCTTTAGTAACTGTAAATGGTTTGGCTTCTCACCAGCAGCACGTCGCTCCGGATGATGAACAGCTGTTTGGTCCACTGTCCGAGCCATTTCCTCTTCCACAGGTAACCACAGAGGCGGGACTCTGGGACGGGGCGTAGGCAGGGCTGGGAGGCGCTCCAGTGGATGTAGTGAGCTCGGTCCTTCACAGGCTCATCATCATCATCTTCCTCCCCGTATGACTCATAGTGACTACTGTCAGACTCTGCGTTATCTGAAACAGGGATGGAGATGTTTTACAAAGTTTTTAAAACACGTTTCTTTGTGTGCACAGAAAAAACTGTCAACGTTTCAGTTTATGTGTTTGTAGATACCAGTGTTAGATGTGGTTGTGTTGGGCAAGTAAGGTTCTGCCTCCTCGTAGGTATCTTCATCTTCATCACCTCCTGGACCCCCTGGAGGAACGGGTGGCACCACAAGGCCCTGGATGGATGGGTTAGATTGCTTATCATCTATATATTCAATAGAATCAGCACGTATCGACTTTGACAAGAAATTCCTGCTATGTCAAACCAAAGTGTTATTTGTACTTATTGTTGTGTGTCTTTTATTGATAGTCTGAACTGAATCTAGCAAATAAACATACTTGGGTTTCATTAGGCCAAATCCAATTTAATTCCTAAATTCATTCATATTATCTTGATCACTCAACCTTCCGTTTAACATTCAAGCAAAAATTGGCAGATACTGTAGTGTACAGATATTGAACGCCAAAATAAGCATTATTAAGACATCGGTATTCTTTGAACATTTCTTTTTTCCCTGTATTGATTTCCAATGTTTTTCTTTTTTAGATCGGATTAGTGTCGACTGATTGGTACGTTTTTCTGATTTGTGATATTGGGCTACATAAATAAGATTGACTTGACTTCAGGGCCGCCCCTCCCTACAGTCAGATCACGCAGACTGCGTGGGGCCTCACCTCACAGAGGGGGCCTCAACTGAGCCGCAAAAGCGGCACACCTATCGGCTTATGCAGCGCAATTAGTGTGGCGCGGCACGGTTTCAGACTCCACTAGCACCCCCCCGTCCCCCCCGACGACCCCTCATCATCTAACTTTGCGTGGGGCCTCAAGTTGGCCAGGGACGGCCCTGCTTGACTTGTCCATTTGGAAAAAATTAGGATGTCAGGTCAGGTGACATAGTTATGGGAGCAACAAATAGACAAGAGACCAGCCACCAAAGACCAGCCTTTACTTCCTGCTTCCCACCTAAATTGGTTATATTAGCCATGGCTCACTAAACCTACCACAAAGCTATTATTGTAAACATGATGCAGAGAGTCCCCTAACCTTTTACAAATTAGTACGTTTTTAGGAGGAACACATGGAGGCCACTAAAGTCTCCCGTCAGACCAGAATTGTTAGCTGTTTGAACTCTGATAGGGGTCCGTAGCTTTAAAAAAAGAGCTCATTCAGGAGAATTTTACCCAGATTCTCAGCTAAATGCTGCCGCGATGAAACGCCATATTATGTTCCAAACCACATCAAGGATTATCTCTGAAACAGTATGGAGCTCAAATGCTACCACTAGGTGAGTTCCTTTTTTATTTCCTGCTTTTTTTACACATACTCTCTCCAGTACAGGTTAGCTCTGAGTGTTACCGATGCTTGCTAATGTAAACAAAGACCATATTACGTCCAAAACACATCACGCATTGTTTCTGATAGCAACGTTTCTGATAGTGCCGTGGGTGCAAATTTCCGATATGACGTAATCTACGTGATATCGGAGGGCAAATCTGGATCAGCTCTGTTGTACCCCCTTTTTTAGAGATTTGGGTACGGAGGAAAAGAGAGAGGGTTTTTAATTTCTGACAATTATTTGAGTCTCCTGAGTCCTGACACATATTTCTATATAAAAATTACATTTTGCATATAGGGGACTTTTAACGTACAATTCCCTAGAAGACAAATCTATGGATTTGTGGGAAAACCTGGCAACAAAGCTGTAAACGGCTTTCTTAATACATCCATGTTGGGGTTTAAGCCTCTGTGGGACCACCAGAGTAAAATTACACACCCAAAATAAAAGAGTAGGAGACACTATACCCATGGCAAAATATCAGTATTATACAGTACACATGAATACATCAACACTTCTACACCTTTGTGTCCTTTTCCTTGCTGAACATCACTCTCATAAAGTGAACTGAAGCTAAATGGCTAAATAATGGTTGTAAATGAGTTGCATATGACAACATTTCCCAGGAGATGGAGTTAGTGTTTGTGTGTGTTCTCGCCATCCATCACGTAGACCAGATGCTAATCAGCCGCCATCAGTGACCACTTCCTCCCTCAGCCAATAGGAGGACAGATAGAGGGGAGATGGCCTCATATGTAAACACTGAACATCCTGGCACTCCCTGCAACATATGCACACACACGCCCGCAAGCACAGACACATAGACACACAACCACAGGCTCACACACATATACACAACCATGTCCACAAACACACATACACAACCACACACAACCCTGCCTTCTCCTCCCAAACCTCAGGAGGACTCAGTCTGTCATTACTGACCCACATCACAGACTAGCCTCCTGTTTCTGTTATCTAAAATAAAATTCCCTTTTTTCTTTGACCTCAGGGGAAGCCATAATGATGACAAGAAGTGCAAGACAGTAAAAAACAACCCTGTGAAGAGAATCAGCAAGGAGGAAGTATTCAGGTCTTTTACTTTAGTAAATCAATATAATCAAGAAAATATAGATTGTAGGGTTATATTGCCTGTTTTTGTAAATATAATAGCAATGTAAAACATACAATTTCTGCTCAGCAGGCGTTATTTGTTTTTGTGTTTTTTTCTTTTGACCTTTTGCAGTTCTTTAATTCAGTGTAGTGTTTGATGCTTGCACCTTTTATGGATTTATCAAACAGATGGTAAGCTCAAAATCCTCCATTATTGTAAAGAAAGACCACTTTTCAACTTTATCTAGCTTACCAAGTGGGGAAAGTTCAGGGTAAGGTATTCATTTTAGAGCAAACTGGTTCGCACTCCCAACACGTCAAATCTAAACCTTGGCCAACAACATATGACTTTGACCCAGTAAACTGGTTTTCGTGTTCCACCTTAATATGTTGTCACATTTGTTACTTGACTAGATCTTGACTATATAGCCTCCTGCGGACGTTGAGGACGAGGTGTTGGTCCCGTTATACTCTAGTTTCTGTCTCTTTTGATTGAATCCAAACTATCAAAATCCCTAATGAAATCTGGGAATCTGTTCCTTGTGTTGATACAATTATTTTAAAATGTTTTTAACCAAAATATCGCTGCATAACTAACCCATTGCATCTTTAATTGATTTATTCAACATATTTTGAACTGAATTAATTATGATAAATCAGAAAAAAACCTTTTCAACTAATTCAAAGTAACAGGTTAGGATGAGGTATTACTGGTTGGTGCAAACAAAAATATTTGTTTAGGTTTTCTGTTTAAATGTAGGCACATCTTACACACTGTATCTATAACCCAGAAGACCTAATGAACAACTTGAAAGACAGAATACAAGTAGTTCATTGCCATCAAGCAAAGTTGCACATACCCATGCTGATTGGCCATTGTGCAAAGACTGTCCGTTAGACAAGAGTTGATCTCAGATTAGACATCATCAGAAGATGACAACATGTGCAGAAGATGGTAAACACAAGGCAGTGATGAAGGCAAAACAGTAGATTTTCCATGCTGGTCAATCCCAGCATGCATTGAGGGAGAAAAAGTGAGGAATTCGGGGTCAGGTGACTTACCAAGTTTGCCAACCACAATGGTAAGTCGTGATTTAGGAGCAGCTCAGGACCCTGGACGCCCTCTGCACAGAAAAAGAAATACACCTGTTTAAAAAAGGTTTCAAATATCTACTAAAATAATTGTTAATGATTCTCTTTGTAATTCAGTTTTAAACTTGAGTGGACATGTCCTGATTTTAAACTCAGTGTTACCTGATCCAGGAGTGTCTGATGATGATGGACAGCTCATGATCATGTACTCAGTGTCTTCCACTGGAAACACAACAAACACATCCATCAGCAAACCTAAGAAGTGCAACTGAATATGATCATTTTATCAGTTAAACTGCTTTCTAGATCTTACACTCCAACCGCCACTTCAACTTAACTGCACACATTACAATTCTCTTCAGGACTTTGACTGAAATGTTCTATATTTAGCAAACAAATGGCCAATTTGACTTCTTTCAGTCACTCTGAAAGCCTTCAATTGAAGATATTGTCAAAATTCTTTAGTAGTGTTTATCATTCTTCCTGATACTACTACTGTAACAAGAGGCGCGTTCACACCGCAGTACTTTTCCCACTTTAGTTCCGATATAGTTCCGAAATGTTGCGTTCACACCAAAAAAATCCGGAACTAAAATTAGTTCATGAGAACCTTTTCACCCCCTTTCCGTCCCTGCTAGAGAGCAGGGACTTTCATGGGAGAAATGTTTTCCTATTTCTGATTGGCTGGGCGGATTGCAAACCACGCCCCGTAAAACTCCCAAAAAGTTTTGTGAAGCCACCATTTTATTATCCTCGCATTAGCATTATTAGCATTAGCCCAGCGCACAAACGCAGAGAGACTAACTTATGGCAACTTCTACTGAAGCCAGTCCCCAACTCCGGGGACTTCTGGCCGGGGACTTCGGGTGGCAGTATACGCCGTGAAGTGGTTTGCGGCCTGCCAGTAAACCCAAAGCAGAAGAAGAAGAAGGCTTCATTTGCCTAATCTTCCCCAAGGGACTTATTCCGGTGTGAACCATAGGGTGTGAACCATAGGGTGTGAACCGTGTGAACGCGATCTGAACTAAAGAGTTCTCATGAACCTTTGTGGGAAAAGTACTGCGGTGTGAAAGCGCCTTATGTAGTTTTGAGTAGAAGTAGTAGTAGTAGTGGTAATAATAGTATTAGTAGCGGTAGTACTGATAGAAGGTTACTAGAATGGGAACCGGCACTGCGGCCATTTTTGGAGGATGGCGTTGATAGCAGCGGCAAAATACCTTAATTTCTATAAGCTTTCACCAGATATCCTTCAGCTATTTTTCATCACATACACTGAACAAAAATATAAACGCAACACTTTTGTTTTTGCTCCCATTTTTCATGAGATGAACTCAAAGATCTAAAACATTTTCTATACACAAAATAACCATTTCTCTCAAATATTGTTCACAAATCTGAAAAAATCTGTGATAGTGAGCACTTCTCCTTTGCCGAGATAATCCATCCCACCTCACAGGTGTGGCATATCAAGATGCTGATTAGACAGCATGATTATTGCACAGGTGTGCCTTAGGCTGGCCACAATAAAAGGCCACTCTGAAACGTGCATTTTTGCTTTATTGGGGGGGTCCGAAAACCAGTCAGTATCTGGTGTGAGGGGTAGGGTAGGGTTAGGGTTAGGGTTAGGGTAATGTTGTGAATCGAGTGGCCCATGATGGTGGAGCGGTTATGGTATGGGCAGGCGTATGTTATGGACGACGAACACAGGCCACTCATTTCACAACATCATGATGATGATATCACATTTCCACTCCCTATAGCTAGCAGTGGTAGTATCAGTAATATCATTATTACCTGGAGTGTCATTTGTGTGCAGCTTAGACAGCAGCTCTGAGATGTCTTTCTTTTGAGTCTGAGCGGCGTAACTCAGTTTCTCTGAGTCCAGAGCAGACAGGAAGGACGGCAGGTCCCAGATCAGCTTGGCCAGCACTGAAGACAGATGAGCAGGCAAGTAGAAAGACAGGGAGGACAGACAGACAGGTGAACAGAGGGACACAAAGACTCTACAGCTGTCAGACTGGCCTCATGAACAAGGTCAAATCTACAGTGAGATAACAGAAAATCACCCCCAAATATTTTCACAGACGTTACCTCTGAGTCATCCTTTAACTGTTGACATACTGTAGAAGCAGGGCAATGAGTCATGTTTGATTACATTAACACTATCTCTCCCTTTTAAACAAACTCTCTTTACATTTGTCTGAGGAAACCTTTGTGTTTAAATAGTAAAAGTAAAATGCATCACTATAAAGTAGATCTCAGTAAATTAATGAACCAGAAATGTCATGTATCCAACATATTTACATTTCATGACATGTCATTTGTTAGAAGCTTTTATCCAAAGCGACTTACATACTCAATACTGTGGACAATCCCCACAGGAGCAATTTGGGGTGAAGTGTCCCAGGGACACAACGACATGCTGACTGCAGTGGGGATTGAACCAGTGCTCCCCTGATCCGAAGATCACACACCAATCCACTGAGCCACAGCCTCCCTTGTTAGTACACTAAATGGTTCTCCGTGTTTCTCTTGTTTCATAATATTCACACAACAGGAATGGATGGAAACAAGATTAAATTAGCATTTTTTCTTGTGCTAACTTGTGAAAATATTGTTAAAACTTGCTACATTTTGGCAAAGACTTAACTAAATTCTTTCCGTCTTTCTTTCTTTCCTTTTTTTCTTTTCTTTCTTACGTAGCTTGTCTAGCTTGTCATGTTAACATACAATGATAACACTTTCACATTTAGCATATTTTTGAATCCTTTAGCAAATACAATTGATGTGCTATCATATACTTAAATATGAGCATGTCACAATTAGCATCGTTGCATCTCAACATGCTAACTGCTTGTAGGGCAAGTTGCTTTTTTTAAGGTGAATTTTCAGAAAAACATGCTTGTGCTTCATCTTTAATTTCCCAGTTTTACAATGTAAACTACACATAATTATGTTATTGCTAACATTCAAGTTAACATGGCTATTTATTTTTAAAACAACATACAGTAGGCTACATTGCAGTAAAAAAAAATGTATTAAAAAAATGAATCTGCAATAATATTACGTTTAGATAAAAAATATTAGCTTCAACTTCATATTATTGCTTTCGACTAACCTAATACATTATATACTATATATGTATTTGTTGTTCTTTTATTTTATTTTCTCTTCACTATATCTGTAAAGTGTCTTTGAGCACCTGTAAAAGCGCTAACAAATTAAATCTATTATTATTATTATTATTATTAATACAGTTATGTGACATTTGTTGACATGATACATTTAATTAAAGTCAACGGTTCAGTTTTTTCAGTGTAGTTGTAAGGTAAGCTACCAATTTGGCCCTGCGGATGGTGTGACCCCATTGCATGACGGTCTCTAGTGTTCTTTTTAAAATAAAAACAATCAGTCAGTCAATTCATCAGATAAAGGTTTCTGTTCTCACAATGACTTTCCTGAGCCATACACAGCAGACTCTGGTGGGGGCTCCCTTCAGTTTGTCGTCAGCAGGTTGATAAAACATGAAACGTGTCATGAAGTCAGTCTGTGTTCATGTGATGAATGAAGCTGTTGTTCCTCTCTCACTGAATGAATACTGACTTTGTGTGTAAGCTTCAGAAGAGCAAAGAGCTGCAATCTTTGAAGGCAGTGATGTAAGACGCCTCTCAGTTCACATTATCCACTACAGATAAAAATACAATCTGTGTTTACCCAACATTTGACTCTCCTAGGGTACTTTAGTACACAAATAAATCATATGTTTTTCCCAGTATTTATGATAATAATGTGATCCTGTTTGTTTGCTTAGTTCATGTGTTATTTACTGTATTTAGATGTAGGTAAGTCAACATATATAAGTATAAAAGTGGTATATTTAGATGTGAAAATAATTTTAAAATGTAAAAAAGCCCTTATTTGAAAACACATCAGGAAACTGTGTTAAGTAAAATTGAAGAAAGTAGTTTTCCACTATCTTTATCCAAACATTTTTGAATTAAATGTCAATTAGTGTGTTGTTATTTTCTATTCTTGTACTGTGTGATGCTAGGACTGAGGGGACATAAAGGCCCCACATAGCAACGATGCCACACCCCGCTAACTGCACATATATTTTGTGTTCAACTTTGTAAGTGTTACTTAATTTACGTTAATAACTCAGATTTTCTTCCTGTGCAGAATTTTGATTTGAATTAAAACACTGTTGGATGACAGAGTGGTGCAATGAGGATGCATTTTTGTAGGCCGACCCGGAAGTTAGCACTGCTAGCGTTCAATTAACAAAAAGCATCAAGATTTTTTAAATTTGATATTGGAATATTGAAGAAAACAAGATCTTTGACAAACACACATGATACATACACATTTAGTTCAGCTGGATAATCTTCACATGTTAGCACCACTTTCTGAAGCGTAAATGCAATCAGCTAACAACAAGCTAACTTTAGGCCATAAACAAACATAATCACTGTCACATGACCTCACGTCACTGATGCTAAGCTAAAGGCGGCTAATGTTCAGCGTGCTGACCTTTAGTAATCTCATTTTGTTGAGATGCTGGTGACAATTGCTACTGATGCTTCTGCAGTGCTAAATCTCAGCCTAGCATTGTCCAAAAACAAAAGCTACCATTAGGCTATAAAGTAACTACATCACGGTCACATGACTTCACTTCACCACCGCTAAGCTAAAGGAGGCTAATGTTGGGCTATAAAGTAACTACATCACGGTCACATGACTTCACTTCACCACCGCTAAGCTAAAGGCGGCTAATGTTTGGTGTGATGATGTGTAGTAGTCTCATTTAGTCACTTGTTAGCAACTGGTGTTTTTAAGAAAAAAAAAAAAGCTTCAGACATTCTAATGACGTATTTTATGTCGTAGAACAAAACGTGAAAATCTCTAAAGCTAGTGTTAAGCACAGATCTTATTTCAGGCTTCTAACCAAAAACACGTTAAAAAAATTGTGACTTATAGAAAAGGGAACTGGAACTGCTTTCAGGAACAGAAAACTTAATTTCTTGAGATTTTTGTCCTAACATTAAGGTGTAGAAGTGTGAAACACACAAGCCAATGTCTCCTTTAGGCAGTACAGTTTAGGTTATTTATTCTGTTAATGAGTGAATGAAACCCTGACCTGTCTGCACCTGTTGAGGTAACGTTTCCCACCACAAATACTTCAATGTTCTGGCCTTCAAATGTTAGCTGATGTGACAGATATACACACTGATAAGCTGCTGCTAATGTTTAACATAAAATAAAGACTATGTGTTGGTCCATGTTTGTTAGTTACGCATTGTTCAACATCATTTAAGAACTCAAGCTAACTGTACGATCATTTATAAAGGTTGTCGGCAGTGAATAATGTGAAACCTTAAAGACACTATGTTTATCCGTTGAACATATCTACTGATATTCTTACTGTAAACACGTACTGTATTACTTGCAGAACCTGTACTGCAGGGGTGTCAAACTCAATTTCAACTCGGGCCACATGGTTGCTCTCAAAGGGCCAGTTTTATATATAAGACTTTATAAAAATACATATATAAATAAGAAGTCTAGGGAAAACAATTGCAAGTGTTTTCAGTGAGAATGTCACGAAATGATTTAAAAAGAAAAGCCAAATTCTGGAAAAAAAAGTCAAAAGAAATGAAATGCTGAAAAAAAAGAGTCAGATTCTAAGAAAAAATATTATATTTTGAAGAATAAAAGTCAAATTCTGAGAAAAACTTCAAATTTGAGATGCATTATGGGACATGTAGTTTATGGGCAACGTGCTTCTGTAAAGCGGCACGTAACCATATAGTAAACATATTATATTCTTTGCAAGCTCTTGTGGGCCACATACAATGAAGTCACGGGCCGGATTTGGCCCCCGGGCCTTGAGTTTGACACCCCTGCTGTACTGCCTCCGTGACCACTATAACTGCTTATGGGACCAGACACTCATCAGCCAAGGACTGCTACACAACTTAAAAATAGAAAATAGAAACTTCTCAATGACCAATCCCACTTGAGATCCACTAGAGCAGGGGTGGCCAACCCGCGGCTCTCGAGCCGCATGCGGCTCTTTGCCTAGTTTCATGCGGCTCTTCAGTTCATATCGAATTGTATATGTGTGAGTTTGGGGGAGAGACACTGACTCCTGACTAGTGTTGCACGGTGTACCGATACTTGAAAGGTACCGCGATACCCTGCCGTTAAAAACGTTACTATTCCTCCGTTTCATTAGTATCGGTACTTTAAGAATGACGGGGAAAAGTACTCCGGTGAGAAAGCGCCGTTTAATAAGAGCCGTGTGTGTTCAGCGCTCTGCTTCCACTCCCTGCACTGCAGCCGTGCCTGCAGTCCCGCCCCTCTCAAGCACGCTCAAGTGCCTCCCCTCTCTCGTGCACGCGCTAGCTGGCAGAGCACGTGAGAAAACGAGAAGCATGGCTGCATGTGGGAGTGCAGCTGCCGCTGCGCCTCGGCTTGTTGACAAAAAAGACGCCAGAAGTGACATTTGGAAGTATTTTAGCTATATCTCTGACAGTGAGAGCAAGCCTACGGACACCACGAGGCCTGTCTGTAAGAAATGTATTCATTTGATTTAATACGAATTCTTGTCATTTCTTTTATTTATTGTTCTCATTGTTTAAAAGTGTGTGTTATGGTTCTGGTGTGAAATAAAGCACAATAATTACATTTAAGACTGTTTCCCTTTTTTTAAGAAAAGTATCGAAAAATAATCGGAATCGCAATTCTTGACTTGGTATCGAAACCAAAATGTTGGTATCGTGACAACACTAGCTAGCTACTCCTGACAGTTAAACCTGATATTTAGTAGGTCTGTTAAGTATTGAATGCTGATCATTCTGACGTAATTTGGCCGGTCAAAGTTGTTTGGGCTCGGATAAAATCGCTCCGTTACTTTCGTCCCGTGTTACTTTCGTCCCGGCTCTCCCTACGTGTGTATGTGTGGTGTCAGGTGTCAGTATGAGAGGATGACAGCGCGTCTAATTTTGATGTGGCCCAAGAGCCAATCACAATAATACCTGTGATGCAGTGAACCAATCACCTTTGAGGGGGGGGAAAACCTATCGTTGATTAAACACTATCCAGTGTTTCCCCTACCATTGTCTTGGAGGGGCGCTGCGCCCCGCCAACGGAGCCCCGTGCCCCCCCTGAAATTCAAGGTGTTTAAAAAATATATATAATTTTTTTTTTTTTTTAATATATATATAGCACCAAATTGCAAATAATCTATAACTACTGTCACTTTTAACATTGAACATGTGCTCTTTTATTAAATAAACTAAACACTTTCATTTTAAGTTGTGAGTTTAGTGTTTTTGACCCTAAGAAACACTGATGCATTAATCAATAACAATAATCCACAGCTCCTCTCTGCTCCAGAGGATTTAAAAAATATATATCCCAATGCCACAAAAACGCATCAGTGACGTGGTTGAAATCTTGTCTCCAGAAAACAAAAAACTGAAACAAGCGGTATCAGTGACTGTGTGTTTGATGTGGCTCTTTGCAGTAACATAGAAAAAATGTGGCTCTTAACCTCTGACTGGTTGGCCACCCCTGCACTAGAGCATATGAAAGAAAAATATCAAAGACCCCAGAACTTCCTTTAATGACCAGGAAGTTTATGTAATTGATCTCTAGAACCTCCTTCCTCCTGAAAGACCTCTAAACCTGTTTACAGCAACTACAACTACTACCACATAGCGCTTTTGTCCGAGCACTTTCTTTTCAATGAGAATGCCCATTGTTTCACATAAAAAAACGTGTCATTTTTGTTTGCGCCTCGTCATTTTTGTGTGGCCTCTCTTAGCATTTTGACAATATTTCACCTTAATAGATGAGCGGCAGTGACGTCAATGTAGAAGGTGGAGAGGAAGCTTGTTTTTGGCCGTGTCTTTCTGAAAGAAACTATCAAGAAACAGACAGAAAAGGCCGTTTGTTTGAGCGGGCTGACACCAAGTGTTGCTGCTGTTGAGTGTTGCACTTTAGATCATCCACCTCACTCTATGGCTCTCTTTGAGTGGTGACAAGCCCATCCATTCAAAGTGTGATGGCAAGCATCTTCCAGTTGGTGTTAATGGTGAAAAACAAGTCAAACAAGTATATCAAGTAGACCAAATGAACACATAAAAGGCAAGGGGCGAAGCTTATGTCTTTTAAAGTTGTGATATGTGAATTCACAAAGCAACCTGCCAGCGGTCTGACGCTGTATGGACACAGGGCCTTAGGGACCTCTGAAATATAACTATTAAAGACAATACATGTTTAAATGTTGATCAACTATATAACTTTCTTCCATAGTAAATGATTGACTTAAATCAGATCCAGTTGTAACCCCTGAGAATGTGAGCATCTTTACTGTTTGCAAAGTTTAATAATGATTTATGTTTTGTTGTCAAAAATCTAAGTGTAGTGAATGAATCTGAAAGGTTTGGCAAAGCCTGAATTATCATCAGTAGGATTAGGAAATGTCAAATATGCAGAGAGAAAACAGAAGCTTTTGTGTTTGAGCTCCATTCAGAGGGACAGAGTTAGTCCATTCAGCCTCTGAGTGAGTGGGAGACAGGGGTTAAAGGTTTCTGATTAACGTCTCTCTGCTGATTTAAGGATCCGACAGATCTGCTTATCAGCCCGCTGCTGTTTTAAACACGGAGCTGCACATACCTCACACACCTACAACACACCCACAACACACCAGCAACAGTACAGCAACAAGACATCATCCACAACAACAGAAAGACCGTAGGAAGAAAAAAGTGACGGAATAAAGAGTTTGTGTTTCTGAGCGCAGCTTATCTGACCATCAACATCACTTCCTGTCTCTGGCTTTGATGCTGCAGAACACACACATGCATACACATGCACACAGGCACATACAGTGAATAACAGTCACTGCCGATTTGAATGAAAGTTAGATGATGCTGTTTTGGTGGGGAAAAAATCAAAAGCACACAACAAATAAACAATATCAAAATAGTCAGCAACCAGAAACAACTAATGATTAAGAAAGCATCGGCCTCTCACACTGAAAAAACTGAAACGTTCACTTTGATTAAATGTTTCATGTCAACAGATTTCACATAACTGTATTAGGTTAGTGGAAAGCAATACTATTAAGCTGAACCTAAAACAAATTTAAAATTAAACGTTAAATTATTGCTTTCAACTCACCTAATGCAGTTATGAGAAATGTGTTGACATACAGTAATACATTTAATTAAAGTCAATGTTTCAGTCTATATTGACTGTATTAATGAAAAGACTAACAAATAAAGTAATAACTATAAGCGCTGACATACAAATTAACCAACTAACTGATGTTCTAACAAACAAATTGACAAACAAACACACACACAAAGTTTGTTCAACCTACCTTTGTCAAGAAATAATATACACAGAAAGTTTCATTCCAAGAACGAATACAAGTTTAGTTTGCCCAAATAACAAGAAGCACATTTCTTCTCTTACTATTGGTATAAATATGACATACTGTATTTTGCTTAAGATACTTGTATTTAAAAATGCGAAATATATTATTCTGGATAATCCGGATAATAATGTTTTAAGTGTTAAGTAAAGCTCCCATGTCATGGCCATTTCTACTGATCATAATTCCATTGTTGAGGTCTAGAATAGATTTACATTGTTCAATGTTCCAAACTCACATTGGTTTCTCACAGCATCTCTGTATAGTATGTGTATTCACTCTCTGTCCTACACGCCTTGTTGGAGCTCCTGCCCCCCACCTCCCTCCCTGTGAGCCCAGTGTGCTATCAGCGAGACAGCGTGAAACTCATCCTGAGCACACAAACACTCACAGCCGAAGTAAAAACAATAAGTGTGGCTTGATATTGAGTAAGAAAAAGGTTTGTAACGCTGTGAAAATGGGTCTCTCTGCGATCCCAACTCGTCTATTACCAGCGTTCTGGGAGCTCTATGCAAGTCAATGGGACTCCCTGTTAGTTAGCCAAGGGATCCTGGTGTGTGAGGTGTTCCAAGGATTGGTCCATTTGGGCCAATCCGGTCATTTGTTGTTGATTTGGGTGTTCACACGTCACAGAACCCAGGAAGCAAACAATGAGGCGTTCTGGGGCAGCACAGACAGGTCTTCTCTGTGTTAGAGTTTTACTCGCTAGGGTGTACTTTGAGGGTTTGTGACTGCAGACCGTTTACATGCAGAAAAAGCTACATAACACACAAGGGGACGGGTAATAACCGGAAAAGCATGACATGGGACCTTTAAGTAATTGTAGAATCAAAGTTTCAAGCTCAGATTTGTGTCTTTCTGGCCAACAGAGTTGATCCTGAAACCGGCTGAAGTTAAGAAGTTTTAAAAAAGAGTTTGTTTGTGTTGCGGGGTGTGGAGCAGCTTTCTCTTTCATCCTCTGGTTGGTAAAAATAGAAAAACAGGAGTTCAGAAACTATGACATTACTGAGCTGCTGGGTTGTCCTGCGCTGCAGTACAAGAGAAACTGTAGCAGTTCTAAAACCCCAAGACTTACTACCAGAAAATACAGCAGTAACCAAGAATCAGCATTTGATTATTGTACTGTAACCTTGTGTAAGGTTAGAGTAAAACAAAGAATAGCTCCTTTCAAGCCTGCTGAATGGCTGTTGAATGTGACGCTTCACGATCATCTGATGTGGAGTTCACATATCTCAACTTGACCACCATGCAGGGCCGGCCCTCAGCATAGGCAGTATAGGCGAATGCTAAGGGCGCATCAACCCATAGGGGGCGCCGGAAAAAAAAAAAGAAAAAAAAAAGTTAGAAATAAAAAAAATTATTTTTTATTTCATAACACAATTTCCCGATTTTGGATCAACAAAGTACATCTTATTATCTTATACTAACAGAACTACGCCTATATTGCGTACAGCGCCCATAAACTATGGCACACCCCCCCCCCCAAAATCAAGTTGAACCGCCCCAGCGCCAGTAAAAACCAGAGGTTTATGTGAAATAGTTCTTTTTTTGAAATAATGGTTTTAGTGGGCAATTATAGGTTTTAATTTTGTATTTTTGTTAATTTAAAATAAATCAAACTCCCAAAAAACGTACACAGCTTCTGTGTGCTTTTATTAACATTGGAATTTACTGTGTAAGCGGCCGCGGGGGGGGGGGGGGGGGGGGGAGAGCTTTAGAGAGCTCTCTCCTGAAAGACTGAGAGGCTATGATAACCTCAGCTCAGTGAGGTAAAGGCTCACCTTTATATGATCATTATAGTTATGAAAAAATAAGAGAGAGAAAATATCCATAAAGAAAAAGAAAATCTGTTTACAGTTCTGTTTCATCTGGTGTTGAGAGATGTATCCATAGATCTCTTAATGTTGCTCTCAAAGTGCACCAGATTGATGCTTTTAACTTCAATATTTAAAAAAAAACTCTTACCGGAGGTGCATGCCCCCGGACCCCCCTAGAGGAGGTGAGGTCCCCCCCCACTTAAAATCATGTTCACATGGATAGGAAACTAAATACAGTTGCACACATCTTGTGTCAATAGCTTTGTTTTGGTGGTCATGCCACAAACCGCGCACGTGCGAATCATAGTGAGTGTCTGCATTTTGGGGGGGGCGCCAGCTAAAATCTTGCCTAGGGCGGCAAATTGGTCAGGGCCGGCCCTGCCACCATGTCATTATTCAAAGGTACCACTATTAGCCGAATTTCCCCAAAGTATAAAAAATGAGACATGAATGAATGCTTGTGTGTGAATATGATATAATATGCTGATTCTTTAGTCACACCTACACCATGCAGAAGAAGAAGACACCAGGCGAGGGGATTTCAAGAGCTTCAGCCAAAGCTAAACGATGGACAACCGTGTAGAAAACATGATGAAAGTATGATCATTCTATTAGATTCATTTCAACCCTATCCCAAATACAATCAGGCTGAATAAGGACAGACAATACTACCGAATCAGACCCAAGTTGGAATAAACTGCAATAATCCTCATAAGCACAGGAAGTCATTCAACTAAAAGTAACTGCAGGAGTCAGTCAGAGGCTAAATTGTGGGTCTGAGTCTAAACAGTCTATTAGTGCTGTCTCCTGAGGGCAGCAGGGAGGAAGTGAGGATGATGAAGGAGCACAGACGGGTGTTCCCCATTGTTGAGCTGCTGTAGTTAGCATACCACCACCATACCACACTTTGGACCAATTTTGTTAGGATCTGTCTGTGTTGTAGTTTTGTATGTCTGGTTATGGGTATTTTCATCCTTGTATATTGTCTGGTCCTTCTTCCTGTGTTTTTCCTCCCGTCGTTAGTTTCCCTGGTGTGTCTAGTTGTCTGATTGTTTTCACCTGTGGCCCTTGTGTTTCTCCTCCCCTGCCGGCTGTGTCTCGTCTTGTGATTACCCCTTCCTGTATTTAGTCTTGTCTCTTCCTGTGTTCAGTGTCGGTTCGTCTTGTGTTGTGAGTAAACTGCGGTGAGTGTTCTGTTCTGTCTCTGAATATTGTAGCCTTGAAATAAAGGAATTATTTTGTCACTTAAATCTGCATTTGGGTCCTGCTTCCTGCACACCGTAACATTACGAACCGACCAACAATGGACCCAGCGGATTTTCATTTTGATTTGGACTTGTTATCCCTAGAGTACACTCTTCAGTGTCATTATGCTGAATGGAGTAGAACCTTGGCTAAAAGGGACAAAGAGGCTGTCCTCAAAAAGGCACAAATGGAGGTGGACAACATACCATGGTTGAGAGGCTCATTGCCTGAGTTTCTCAGAGTTTTCTCACGCAGCCCTGAGTGCCAGTCTCCATTCTCTGACCCTTTCTTGGGATCCCGCCTGGCGTTTGGAGGTCCACGGAGCCTCCAAAAGACTTCTAAAAGACGCAAGGTCAGGAAGCCAGCTCGTACTCAGGTACCGGTCCTAGCAGCCATGGTTCCGGCTCCAGAGCCGGCCCATACAGCCATGTTTCCGGCTTCAGAACGGGATCTTACAGCCATGTTTCCGGCTCCAGAACCGGACCTTACAGCCATGTTTCCGGCTCCAGAACCGGACCTTACAGCCATGTTTCCGGCTTCAGAACCGGACCTTACAGCCATGTTTCCGGCTTCAGAACCGGACCTTACAGCCATGTTTCCGGCTTCAGAACCGGACCTTACAGCCATGTTTCCGGCTTCAGAACTGGACATTACAGCCATGATTCTGGCTTCAATTCCGGCTCCAGAGCCGGCCCATACAACCATGTTTCCGGCTTCAGAACGGGATCTTACAGCCATGTTTCCGACTCCAGAACCGGACCTTACAGCCATGTTTCCGGCTTCAGAACCGGACCTTACAGCCATGTTTCCGGCTTCAGAACCGGTCCTTACAGCCATGTTTCCGGCTTCAGAACCGGACATTACAGCCATGATTCTGGCTTCAATTCCGGCTCCAGAGCCGGCCCATACAGCCATGTTTCCGGCTTCAGAACTGGATCATACAGCCATATTTCTGGCCATGGTTCCAGACCTAGTACAGTCCCCAGCAACCATGGTTCCCGGCCCCAGTCCCGGCCCCAGCTGCCACAGTCCCCTCTCCTGTTCCCCCTCGAGTCCCCTCTCGAGTCCCTTCTCTAGCCCCTCCTCTAGTCTCTCCTCTAGTCCCCTCTCCAGTCCCCTCTCGAGTTCCCTCCTTTAGTCCCTCCTCTAGTCCCTCCTCTAGTCTCTCCTCAAGTCCCTTCTCGAGTTCCCTTCTCTAGTTCCTCCTATAGCCTCTCCTCTAGTTCCCCTCTCGAGTCTCCTCTCGAGTTCCCCCTTGGTTCCCCTCTCGAGTTCCCCCTTGGTTCCCCTCTCGAGTCTCCTCTCGAGTCACGTCTCAAGTCCCTACCCAATGTCCTCGGCCGTTGGAGGTTCCGCTGGGGGTCCTGCCAACTCCATGTCTGTCTCGTTGGAGGTCCCGCCGTCTACTCTCCTGCCGGGGGTCCTGCCAATCCCATGTCCTGTCCCGTTGGGGGTCCCGCCGTCTACTCTCCTGCCGGGGGTCCTGCCAATCCCATGTCCTATGCCGATGGAGGTTCCGCTGGGGGTCCTTCCGGCTCCATGTCCAGTCCCGTTGGAGGTCCCGCGGACTGCTCTCCTGCCGGGGGTCCTGCCAGCCCTGTGTGCTGTCCCGTTGGGGGTCCCGCCGACTGCCCTTCTGCCGGGGGTCCTGCCAACCCGGTGTCCTGTCCTGTTGGAGGTCCCGCGAACTTCTCTCCTGCCGGGGGTCCTGCCAACTCTGTGTACTGTCCCGTTGGGGGTCCCGCCGACGGCCCTTCTGCCGGGGGTCCTGTCAACCCTGTGTCCTGTCCTGTTGGAGGTTCCGCCGGCTGCTCTCCTGCCGAGGGTCCTGCCAATCCTGTGTCCTGTCCCGTTGGGGGTCCCGCCGACTGCCCTCCTGGTGGGGGTCCTGCCAACTCCTGGTCCTCTTCCGTGGGGGATCCTGCCGAGGCCTGTCCCACCAGCGCCGGTTCCTGTCCGGCCGACACCGGGTTCTGCCCGGCCTCCTGAGAGCCGCGGTCTTCGCCTTCGAGCCCGGCCCCCTGAGAGCCGCGGTCTTCGCCTTCGAGCCCGGCCCCCTGAGAGCCGCGGTCTTCGCCCTCGAGCCCGGCCCCCTGTGAGCCGCGGTCTTCGCCCTCGAGCCCGGCCCCCTGAGAGCCGCGGTCTTCGCCCTCGAGCCCTGCCCCTGAGTGCCGCGGTCCTCGCCCTCGGGCCCGGCCCCCTGACTCTTCCTGCCACTCCCTTCGCCCCTCCATAACCCCCTTTTCAAGCTCTGCCTTGCCCCTGGGCTGTCAGCCCAAGCCCGTCCTCCAGACCCCCTCCACCCACCCTGTTGGCCCTAGTTTTGTGTCCCTCCTCCGGTCCCCCTCCACCCACCCTGGTGGCCTAGGGATACGTCCCTCCTCCGGACCCCCTCCACCCACCCGGCTTGTGGTTTTGGACTTTTTGTGGTTTTGTTTTGGGACGTCTGGGATCCGTCCCTTGAGGGGGGGGTACTGTTAGGATCTGTCTGTGTTGTAGTTTTGTATGTCTGGTTATGGGTATTTTCATCCTTGTATATTGTCTGGTCCTTCTTCCTGTGTTTTTCCTCCCGTCGTTAGTTTCCCTGGTGTGTCTAGTTGTCTGATTGTTTTCACCTGTGGCCCTTGTGTTTCTCCTCCCCTGCCGGCTGTGTCTCGTCTTGTGATTACCCCTTCCTGTATTTAGTCTTGTCTCTGCCTGTGTTCAGTGTCGGTTCGTCTTGTGTTGTGAGTAAACTGCGGTGAGTGTTCTGTTCTGTCTCTGAATATTGTAGCCTTGAAATAAAGGAATTATTTTGTCACTTAAATTTGCATTTGGGTCCTGCTTCCTGCACACCGTAACAAATTTAGATATTTTGTCTTTATAGATGGAAATATATGGAAATGGAGAATTCAAATGTGTCCTGGTTTACACACGCATCCTTTGTCATAGCTACCTTTATCAAAAATAATCAAGTGGTCTTGTTACCAAAAAATTGAGCTGGTGGAGAAGAAAAGTTGGAGGAAGACCTCAGTTATTTAGATTTATTTCTTGTAAATGTACGCCTCAGATCTTGGACATTGTAATTGTTTTCTCGAAATAACCACACTCTACCAGATCTAAATGCCTATTTTGTATTTTTCACCGACACTGAAAAAACTGTAATTTATAGTTCATAATAAGTTGAACCTAATATTTTGTATTTAAACTTAATATTATTGCTTTCAGCTAACCTAATAAAGTTATGTGAAATTGACACAATACATTTAATTAAAGTCAACGTTTCAGTGCACAATATCCGTATTCATTCACTATGAAAAAACTGAAACATTGACTTTAATTAAATGTAACATGAAAATGTCACAACTGTATTAGGTTAGTTGAAAGCAATAATATTAGGTTTAAATCAAAAATACAATATTCTTGCTTTCAACTAACCTCATACAGTTATGTGAAACCTGTTGACATCATACATTTAATTTAAGTCAATGTTTCAGTTTTTTCAGTGCAGTGACATTTAGTCTCTGCATTTAACTCAAGAGCCGTAGGTATCATACAGCGCCCAGGGAACAGTGGGGGTTGTGGTGCCTTGCTCAAGTGCACCTCGGCAGTGCCCAGGAGGTGAACTGGCACATCGCAAGGTACCGGTCTATTCTGGGACTCGAACCGGCGGCCCTATGGTTCTCAAGCCAAGCCCTTTCAGACTGGGTATCAACTCACACAATCTATTTGATTCAATCAGAATTAAAACATGTGTAAATGCCACATTTAAAACTTTATAATAGTTCTAAGTTGATGCACGTTTTTATTGATGTAGTTAATGCCAAAATGTCTCTCTCTGTTTTGTCCGTTCATATATTAATAAATAGGCCGGAAATCTATTCCAGACCTTTTCATCAGCCATATATTTATAAATATATGATTCATTTATAATATAATGTACAGTATCTCTTCATAGTAAAAGTATTAAATGTCGACAATACATGACAACATTATAGAGTGTTTACATATTTATTTTATATACTGATTATAAAACGGAAATAGATAGACCTAAATAAATAACTTACACATTAAGGTAAGAACATTATAGGAAAACTATGAACAAAGAAGAAGTACACATTTTACAATTTACATATTATATTGTTATTTCCTTCTCAGTTTGATTTCATATACTTTATACTATAAAATAATAATAATTATTATTATTATTATTAATAATACTATTATCATTATTATTACATTTGAACCAATAATGTGAATGTAAAGGGTTTCCCATGTAAAACACACGTACATTTGCATTGCAATAAAGTGCCCACAGTACCTTTCTGTTTGTCCATGTCTCTGTCTCAGTGGCTGCTGTTCTCATTGACTCATTTCCCTGCTCGAGTTCACAGCATGAAACAAAGAAGGGAAAGAGAGACGGAAAGGTTTCCTCCTCAGTGCACTCCCTCGCTCTGTTCTGTGTGAAGATGTCTGAGCTCTACAGATCCAGTCCTGCCTCTCAGTGACATCACGAGGGAGGAGAGAGAGGGCGGACCAACACTCACTGCTCTCTGAAAGAAGACAAATCTTTCACTCTGAACAGGGCTGCCCCTGGTCAACTTGTGGCCACACGACAAGGTGTTTCATGAGGCCTCCACAAGTCGTCACTCATGTATCGCGAGCGTTAATGGGGGGGGGGGGGGGGGGTTATTACTGAACATAATTGCGCCACACTTGCGCATAAGATGAGGCCCCACTCAGTCTGCGTGATCTGCGTGTAGGGAGCGGCGGCCCTGAGTCTGAAACATCTTTATAGGTTTTCATTGGCATTAGGTCTGACGCCAATTTTAATGTCTCTACTGTCTCCATGCTTTAATGTTCAAAAAGCTCTTTATTTTTCTCATACTGCCTGTGCTGCAGCACCTCTTTTCACCCTCTGTCTGAAACCAGAGCAGTCTGCTCTGATTGGTTAGGTGGCCGGCTATGTTGTGATTGGTTAACTGCTTAGAGATGTGTCAGAAATGTCCCTCCCCGTAGCCAATTACATACAATGTGTTGGAGAGCTAGCCAATAGAAGCGCAAGTGTTACATAGTGATGTCATTAGGAGTCTAATGAAGGCGTTTCAGGCAGGGGGGAGTGTGTGGGAGAGGAACTCCCTCTGGAGGGAACCTTGGGATTGTAGCCTTTGCAGACCATTAACATGCACACAAACCTATATAACACACTACAGGAAAGGGACAACACAAACATAATATTACTGCCCCTTTAAGGATCTAAATACTTCTTTCACCAATGCCAAAAAACGTAGATGTCAATAACACATTGTACTTTATTTTTGGCTCAATCCCCATGTCAGTTATGATATGATAAATATTGCTTACAGAAATGTGAACTCAGTGTCCTCAAGCAAATAGAAATGGTCTTTATTGTAACTCATGTTAATCACTCACATCACCATTCATCCGTTACATCACCTGCATGATATGAAAACAACAACAACAACAACAACAATAATTATATATATATGTACAGCAGCAGGGCGGCTTCAATCAACGACCTCTGACCTCAGCTTGACCTCAGAGTCATAAACTTCAGAGAGTTTAGACAGTAAAACCTGAACCAGGGTGCTACTGTATACCTGCAAGTGCTGTTATATAAATCTATTTAATTAAAGGTAAAATAAAAATGACATCATCATCATGAAATGATGCATGCAGCAGTTAGAATATCTGGTACGTTGATGGTGGCATGCCTCCACTGAAGTCGCCCTGCGTGTTAAAACAGCCTAATTAAATAAGAAAAGAAAAGAAAAACAATTTGAAATGTACAACAAAAACCAAAATAATCATGAAACAATCTTTGTGTCATCATGGTGTTAGTCACAGAAACCAGCTTCCTGTTTCTAACTACACACAACCAATCAGAACAAAGCATAAATCCTCAGTGTCATCAAACAGTGTCAGTCATTCCCCGAAAAAGAAAAGTAATAAAATAAATCAACGTAAAATGACCGATGCTCGCTCACTCCATTTCACAAATCTTCATCCAGTTTTTTTTCCCATTTTTTTTGTTTCAACAGATACAGGAAGAGTGTGCGAGGCAGACGTGGAGGGGTGTGATGCGGGATTTAGTGGAGGTGATTCTGCCGTTTGCAGTGAGAGTGAAGAACAGTCCGTAATCCTCACACAGGTCTTAGTTACTGAAATATGATTTTTTTTTAAATGTGCTGCGAGTCTCGTTTCTCCTTTAGTAACTCACATTAATACAGAGACGATACCATGACTGTAAACACCTGAGAACTACGACACTGAATAGATGACAGCCAATGGGCACATCCCCTCTACGCCAAGGCCACGCCCCCTTTTGGGTGACGACATTTGCTGCGATTGGCTGGCGGTAAATACAGATTTTGCGGTTTTTCACTAATGACATCAAAAAGTCCAATTACGATGGTCAGTCAGGGAAAAACTAAACAATGTCATCGGAGGTCGATGATTGGCATATAGTTGAATTTAAATCGATAGAGGATAGATGTCCGGTCAGTCAGCCGTTGGACGAAGGGCAGGCTAACACTTAAACTGCATTGGTTTGTCAATGTTTTGTATATTTCAATGCAGTATATACATTATCTGAGTTTTAACATGTTTACTTTGACGATTGGCGTTAGCCTCATTAGCGTCATAATGAAGCTGTGATTAAGTGTTTTCCACGTATGACTGACGGCCCGTCCACACAGCGGCGTGCGTTGAAGCTTCTGCCCATTCACTTTGAATGGGGTGACGTACTGCATTGTGGGAGCGTCGCTTTGCTTCAAAAGTTGAGCAATATTCAACTTTTGAAGCTTCGACGGAAGCGTCAGCCAATCAAATCATATGCCAGTACAAGCTCTAGCCAATCAAACCGCGTGCTTGTGTGTCCGGGGCGGGATATTTTGTTGGGAGACGAGGCCGTTATTTTGCCAAGCAGTGACGTAATGCTGCTCTCATCTGTATGGATATTGTAAACATATAAAAGAATAGGCTTAGAGAGCTGTTAGTGTGGTTATATGTGGAGAAAACAATCAGAATGTCCAAGATCTAAGTCATACATTTACGAGAAACATCCAACTTTTCTTCCCCACCAGCTCTACCAATAGATGTTTTTAAGAAAGGTAGCTATAATTAAAAGTTTTCATTTAAGATGGCCAGTAATGTATACATTTTAAAACACAATGCATCAACTCCAGATGTTGTAAATGTGACCAAAGAAAGCAGAATTTTGCTGGAAACTTAAAAACATGGCCTACCATCTTTTCAACATGTCTCACACAAACCTGATCTACCACACTGAAAGACTGGCAATGATTAGGGATTATATATGGAGGGTGTAATGGAGTTTAAGGAACGTCTCATGTGTTTGCAGTCAGTGTACCAACTTCTCTCTTGTAATTGCATCTTCTAAAAGATCAAATGCAATACATTCCAACTTTAAAATGGTCTGTTCAGATCAATATTTCAATTTTAAATCAACAGCTGTGTTGCTGTGACATTTTCAAATGTGCTAAAGAAGACAAGGTATCCATGTTTGTGAAGATCAGATATGATGCTAATGGATATATTACTTTCTAAATATATCTATGTTTGCTTAAGAAGTGTCCATGTGTACATAATGAAGATGTTCAGTTCACTTTGAAGTTGAGGAGAAAAATGTTCTTCAGTTATTTCCCATCATGCCTCTGTCCTTTGGTTTGGGAACCTTCCCAAATGGGTCCTTCCTTCGTCTTCTCTTCTTTTCTCAACATTCATGTGTTGATATAATTCACTTTTTTACATTTTCATTTAGATTTTTAATAACAAACATGCCACTTCTCTATGTATTACTAGAAAATAGCTGCACTTCATTTGGTCACTAAGCAACACTTAATGCCTATAACCTGTTTATTGGACAAACCAGAGCCGAATAGAGACAGAGTTGCTGCCACAGCGCTCTGAGTCTCTGGTTATCGTTGCTCCTCTACACTGCAAAAAGCGAGTTTTTCTATCTCTGTGTGCGTGTACTGAGGTAAAACAGGGCAGTGGCTTTTGCTGTACTAAGAACAAAAGACAAGCAGGAGACAGTTTGATCACAGCCAATGGGAGCTGAACTTTGAGAGGGAATGCTGCTCCACCCTGATATACATATCAAATATTCACGTTTAGTCATAAAACCTTTCTTAAAAGTCTGGACCATTTTTGAATCCCTGATAGACACTTTAAAATAATATGGACGACAAAGGATATGAACACCAGAACATCCCAGTAGTTTGTGTTTTTTAGTTGTGGAAGGTAACTAAGTATAGGCTACATATATATATATATATTTACTCAGGTACTATAGCCTACTTAAAATGTAAGGTACTTTACTTCACTGTATTTTCACATTATGCTCCTCTATACTTTTAACTCAACTACATGATTTTATTGCATTAGTTACTATCAAATTTGCAGATTTAGTTTATAATAGAAATATTAATTGAAGGTTGGGTAGGTAATTTTGGAGAAACCAGCTCGAGTGCGCTAGAATTTGAAAATACACAACCGGGAAAAATCTGCCTCTTCCTTCAGACTTCCTCACAGAGCCCCTCCTCCAACACACACGAACGCGCACATGACCAATGAGGGCACGAGATAAGTTTGTGCACAGATGGAAGGCTGACAGGCAGGTAGGCCATCCAGTTACTTTAAAAATAATTGGTCTAGCTTTTTACAGCGCCACGGCTTCCACAGATGACATTTTTTTATGTATTTATTGTCAAAGCACTTCAGATATTCATTGCTATCGGGATGTTAAGAGCATTCCATGGAATATAACAAAAAGTGTATCTCGAGCCGGTTTCTCAAACTTACCTACCCCACCTTTAAATTGTGGTCATGTTTTTATTCAATTTCAGGTTTGTGTCTGATGTAACATTTCCTGTGCTCCTTTGTGTTTCTAACATCTTGCGACTGTGTTCAGGTGTGTTCATAATGACATATTATTTTAATAACATCTTGAAGTTGTAAGGTAAAGCACAAGGAAAACATAACTAGCTTTTCATGTCTGGCCTGGGCTCAGAGGAAGAAAAATAATATGCCTAGAACAAATCAATAAATCAGTCAAATACATATATTTAGTGGTAAGTTAATGTCCTCAGGATGTGTAGCTTAAAAATCTGACTGTGATCAAAATGTCTCCTATTTTTATTTGTTGGTGCTGGGAAAAAAAATCCTATCATTATGACATCATAGATGGCTAAATCAATAGAAATATATAATTTTGAACTATCACTGACAGCTCTATTCATATAGATCTGTGTTGAGACCTGAATCAGAGTTTATAGGAATGTTTATTTTTAAGCCTGACTGAAGCAAGAAGCTTGATAATAAAATATTTGCTTGTCTGATAGAATTTAAGATCTCTGTCAGATTGAATAGAAGAAGCCCCTCTGTCTCTGTCTCCTTTCATAATCCAGAGACTCCCAGAATACCACGTCTTCAAACATTTGAAACAAACTGTTGAAGTTGAGTGAGATTAGGGTTGGACAATATAATTATATAAATGTGTTTTATGTCAAATATTTTTGCTGTATAAAAAGGTTAGTAGGACATGGCAATATTCCAAATACATTAGTAAGCACTATAGCAATAGGCAATAAGGAGACCATTTGATTTTGTTTCCCCATCGCATTTCTATCTCCCGGTAGCCTACCATCTCCTCCAATTTAAGACTCCAGTTACGTCACAAACTGTGGAAATAAGCTGCTAGTATTAGATCCAGAAGTCGCTAGATGATATCGCTTACTAGTTGTTCTGGTTGAAGCGAAGGACAGACTGACAGCGGCAGCATCACAACTCAGAGAAGTTGGGGAGGGATGAAACGTTTGAAAGATTGTCTACTGCTACTTTAACATCTTGATCTTTTTTTACCTGTCACGTTTTTTTTGTGCCAGATTAGCTTAAAACACATTTCTGTCTAACTATTGTATCTGTTAACCCTTTCTTGATGTTACTGATTAAAGATATATCATAACAAATGTAGATATTTTAATATTTAAAATGATATATATCAGGATAAAGGGCTTTAAATAACGTATACTCCTAGAAGACATTCTTGCAGAGTTGCTAGCTGCTGAGCTAATTTGTTAACAAGCTAGTTACTAACACATCAAGTGGTGTTAGATAGACAAAATAGCTTGCAAAGCTAACGGTAATTAGCTAGCAAAGTAGCTCGCAAAGCTATCATTAGCTAGCTAGCAAGGAAGCTCCGTAGCTTACTTGAGAAAATCGATCTTGTTAATGCAAATCACGATGCATCTTGTTCAGCGCTAACAGATTAGCAAGGAATCAATTTGCCTACAGAAGCAAATCTACAGATTGCTTTCTGAAATTCAATTCATTTTGTTCCACATCTGCTTAAGAATGCGGAGGGGACTGGGCTTTTCCTTTGTAGGTCAGACCCACTGGTGTTGGCTCTGCTCTCAGTTTAGGTATAACTTTCCAAAACTAGCATCACAACCTGCTCTGTGCTTCCACATTTAAACCTGACCTGTGCTCGCTCTGCAGTTTTGTTATTAACACATTTCCACAGACATCTAGAAGCTTATGATACAGGAATCTGCAGCTCTGCTTTAAAACAGTTCATTTGTGCAGCAGGAATCTAAAGCCACTGTGTTTTCATTCAAACCTTCACTGTGATCAAACCTGACATCTAACTGACAGGTCTGACTGTGATGGTGGTGGTGATGGTGGTGGTGGTTGAAGCAGTGCTGATAATAATAAGTCTGAGTTGTTCCAGGATCCTGCAGTGATCCAGAAGAGCAGGGGCATTGTGGGAGACGCGGTCCCAGCGGCGTCAGAAGAGACAGAATTTCTTCTTAAGGTTGTTCCTCTTCCACAGAGAGAGGTGGTCGAACTCCTCGATGGTCATCCCGAAAACACTGAAGAACTCCTCCTGAGAGAGGTGTCTCTGCAGGAGAGGGACAAAGAGAGAGGCAGCGATATAGAGGGATTAGATTAGATGTATTGTCCCCAGGGGGAAATAGATTTTCACAGCACTGTACACATACACAATATACATACAATTACAACAACATTAACACAGACAACAACATATCATTGACAGACTGACCTCCATCGGGATCACTGACACACCCCTCCTCTGGTTTAAATCATATATCTCTGGCCGCACTCAGTTCATCCAACTCAAAACACCCAGTTTACTCATTGGCCCACCCTGAGAAAGCTTCGGTGTCATTTTTTATTTTTTATTTTTTTAAATTATTATTATAAAAAAATGTATTCACCCATTGAGAATATCCAAGCATTCAAAGTGAAATTCAAGTGAACAAATAACTGATTGTTGGTTCCGGCGCGCGCCATTATAACGTGAGAGAGGCAGAGAGCTGCCTGCAAAATAAATGATGGCTCAAAGTTCACTAATGAACTTTGGTTTTTAAAAAAAAGCCAGACTCCAAGAAGAGCCCCCACTGCCCTCATCTAGCAGCGATCTATACGATCATTTTCTGATAACGATGAAATAGCCCCGCCTCCCTCTCCCCACGTCTCCCTCTCCCCACCTCTCCTGCTGCTGGGCTGTCAGAAGAAACATTTTTTAACGGAAACTCTGCCGCACAGTTCCCTCGTCCGTCGTCCCTTGGAAGAGGCGGAGAGGTGGGTGTTTTTCATCTGCTGGTGGACAGTCCGGAGAGATATACACAGGGTTGGGTTGTAACCAGTGTTCGAATTACCCATTTGCTTTCGGGGGAACCCTATTTTTCAAATAGTACTTCAACATTCAAATAGTGCTTCAGGCTCCGCATCGGCAGGCCTCTCCCTCGGTGTGGAGCTGTCAAACTCGACCCTAACGCCGCTCACAGCCGGCCAACTAAAAGTTGTTTTCCGTTCACGTTGTCATTTTTAGACTCCTTCGCTTCGTTGCTTGTGAATCCAAACGCTGCGAGGCTTGGCTGTTTTCGTTACATTACATTACAAAGCCAGAGTTAAACAAATATCAATATGAACATTTCAAATATCGCGCCGGCATCGCCGCCGTAACCATAGCAACGTAAGTAGCGTAAAGAATGCAGCGCCGTCACGTACAGATGGCAACACCCAGAAATATTCACAAATATAAAACAAATATTTAGAAACTGTAATGAACAATGACTATTATCTATTTCAAAAACTTTTATTTACAGAAACTCAACATTTCTAATCTGTGTGACGCAAATATGCACGATTTTTTTGGGCTGCTCCCCCTATTTATCTCAAAGTCAGCCGTCAGGGGAGCTCCACCCCCTCTTTAGGGGAGCCAAGCTCCCCCTGGCTCCCCCCCATTTCGAACACTGGTTGTAACCGGTTGTAACGGAATACATGTAACGGCGTTACGTAATCAGAATACAAAAAGCAAGTGTATTCAGCTGGTGTTACATTTGAAAAACGAGTAATCTGATTACAGTTACTTTCACCTGAAGTGAATACATTTTGGAATACTTATTGGAATTATTGGTGGAAAAGTTTCCTCACAAAATGTAATATTCATTACCGGCAGAACTGTGTGCACACTGCACAGCGCTGCGAGTCTGTGTGCGAGAGAGATGCAGAGTGTCTGTGAGGCCCCGCCCCCGCAAGCAGATGAGAGAGAGAGATCTCTTTTAAAATATATTGAAAGTTAGAAACGGAGATGGTTAGATAAAATGTGCAAGATAACGTTTATGTAGCATTTATTTATTGTCGAAATGATGACATTTCATAACGGGATCAAATCAAAGTGAATGGCCTGCTGCTGCTGAATGCATGGGGCAAGTGACTGGAACAAGTTTTAAAAGTTATTACATCGTTTCAGATAATAATAAATAATAATAATGATAATTCATTCTATTCAGGGGCGCCTTTCAAAGCACCCAAGGACACCTTACAATTCATAACATATTCCAAGGAAAGGTTTTAAGACAGTACAAAGAATGCAGTCTGGGTGATGTTTTGTATGTGTGGTGCAGATGAGAGAGCTGTCCAGAATGACACCAATATGTTGTGTTTGTGCTCTTGATAAGCCATTAAGACAGTAAAATGCGTGTCTCCTGTTCACCAAAACATAACCATCTGTTATGGAAAAAGAAAGTATTCTAAAATATTCTAAAAGTAATCTGCCACCGGTACCGGCGGGGATTGTTGTTAGCTTCTGATGCGCAGAAGAGAAATCTGGCCCACCCTATTTTTTACAGGCCCACCCTAAAGTACATTTCTGCCTACGCTACTGCCTGGGGCCTCTTCTTTTTTATCATCTATCTACTTCCTCTTGGGCATATCTTCCGTAAACACAACATCCACTTTCATTGCTACGCGGATGACACCCAGCTCTACTTGTCCTCCAAACCAACCACCATCCTCCCTCCATCCTCCCTGTCTAACTGCTTACAGGACATCAAATCCTGGTTTTCCTCTAACTTTCTCAAACTTAACGACAGTAAAACCGAGGTTCTCCTCATTGGCACAAAATCCACCCTAACCCAACCTGACAGTTTCTCCATTACTATAGACAACTCTTCAGTCTCCCCCTCCCCTCAGGTTAAGAGTCTGGGTGTCATCCTCGACGGCACACTTTCATTCAAATCTCACATCAGTAATATCACTCGGTCTGCCTATTTCCATCTACGCAACATCAACCGCCTCCGCCCGTCCCTTAACCCTAAGAGCACCGCCATTCTTGTTCACACCCTGGTCACTTCCCGCATCGACTACTGCAACTCCCTTCTCTTTGGTCTCCCTCTCAAATCCATCCACAGACTTCAATTGGTTCAGAACTCTGCCGCCCGCATCATCACCAGAACCCCCTCCATTAACCACATCACTCCTGTTCTTCAGCAGCTTCACTGGCATCACCAGAACCCCCTCCATTAACCACATCACTCCTGTTCTTCAGCAACTTCACTGGCTCCCCGTCAAATCCTGTATCGTTTTTAAGATTCTGCTCCTCGCCTTTAAGGCCATCCATACCCTCGCTCCTCTGTACCTCTCCGACCTCCTGCACATCAACACACCCATCCGCACACTCAGATCTTCTGCTTCCCTCAGCCTCACTGCACCCCCCTTCCGTTTAACCACCATGGGGTCTAGAGCCTTCAGCCGCTCTGCACCCCGCCTCTGGAACTCCCTCCCACCTGACATCCGCAAAACTGACTCTCTCCCCATTTTCAAATCACGCCTCAAAACATATCTCTTCACACTCGCATATCCACCCTGATCATTATCCATCACACATCCTCTGTTTTTATTGATTTGGTTATTTGATTGATTTATATACTGCATTGTCTTGTTTATATCTCTTATGCTGGTGTTAGGTATTGTGTATCTTGTTTTTGATGTGTTTGTACGGCGACCTTGAGAGCCTTGAAAGGCGCCTATATAAAATAAATGAATTATTATTATTATATAGCGGCACACATTGCAGCGACGCCTGTTATTTAAGGCACTAATGGCTGCGGGAATCAAGCTTTTTTCAAAGCGAGCCCTTTTACATTTCAATGTTCTGTGCCTACACCCGGATGGCAGTGGGGCGAGGTACTGAATAAGTGGGTGTGTGATTCTATTGTTGCAATGCGTGAGATGGCCCTGTTGTTAAGTATTTTGAGGGTGGGTGCAGGTAGTCCAATTATCCAGGCATCAGTGTTGGTGATGCTAGGAGTTTGGTCCGGTTGGTGACAGTGAGCATATTGGAAAAGCAGGAGGAGCAGTACATGAGGATGGGTGGGATAATGCTTTGGTACAGTTGTAGGAGAAGAGGGGGGGAAACGTAAAGTCCTTTGAATTTACGGATGACGGATAATCTTTGTTGCTCCTTTTGAAGATGTCGGTGGTGTGTTGGTTGGAATTAAGTTTATATGAGAGGGGTATTCGGGGGATTTAGGCCGTATGCTTTAACAAAAGGATGGAGTGGAAACAGTCATCATGAGAGAGGGAATATCCAATGATTCAACGGGCTGCAAACACCATTACATGACATGTTACTTGTTAGACGCTTTTATCCAAAGCGACTTACATACTCAATACTGTGGGCAATCCTCACAGGAGCAACTTGGGGTGAAGTGTCCCAGGGACACAACGACATGCTGACTGCAGTGGGAATCGAACTTGCTACCCCCTGATTCGAAGTCCAGCACACTATCCACTGAGCCACAGCCTCTCTGCCCAGCCACCATGAAATACTTCTCTATTTTATCCAGAAACATGAAGGAATGAACTGTTTACCAAGATAAGATTGTACGAGTGGCGGATATGACATGATATGATATTTAACACTTTGAAGTAAAGCTGACAGTTTTACCTCCAGCCTGGTTCTGTCAACACCGGGGGGCATTTTGCTCCGCCCTCTGTGGGTCACCACCAGCATCTCATAGGGGCAAATCTGAAAAGATCAACCAGTCAACAAACAAACCAACCAATCAACTAATCACTCCAAATAATAAGCTATATAACATTCAGTACTTTTTTATAGGGTTAAATGATCAGTTCACCTACATTACTTATTTTGTTTGATTAACATAAAAAAAACATTAGAGTGAATGATATTATAACTACAATTTTTGTAACTTTAACAACACTGGATTCTTTGCCTACTGAATTGAAATGGGATAAAAGAAAAGGTGTTTTGTGGATTATAACAGTAACAGGCACTGTTTCCTCTGTTACATCCCATTGGGGAACGTTAGTGTCTCAACACTTCGCACAGGAAGAAGTTAGGAAGAAATGTAGTTTGGTTTGCTAAAGATACTTCGAAAAAGTAAATGTAATATATAAATAAAAACGTTTTTTTCAGTTTGATCATTTTATATTTTGTAGAAAACGATCTAACCGAAAAGTGATAAGAAATGTAAAAACATATACAGAGAGTCTCATGCTGGCAAACATGCTACCTACATTACATTTGCACATTTTAAGACCATGTGGCCGATTTGAGCATCATCTAAAAATATGTGACTGTATTATTGTTAATGTTTGTGTTTTGGATTTGCTCTTAAATAGGCTTGCATTCTTTCCTGCTTTGTATTTCCACTGCTGTTTAACAAAGTCAGTGCTGATACCTTATGGTCCAACATGCTGGGGAGGGACTTTCCTCTGTCCATCCTGGAGTCCCCATTCTGAAGCAAACACAGACACATGATCAGATCACCTTCAGTAACAGAAACGTCTTCATAATTACAACATGTGTGCAGATGAATGAATCAGACTATACCTGAAGATCTGTAGGAAGAGAGAACATTAAGAACATATCAATTAAAAAGGCTAGCAGGTAATGTGAATAAGAAACATATAGCATAAGCTACCAAAACATGTATGATGCAGGTTGAATGAAACGAAGACTCTGAACATCTAATAACTTAATGCTGACACATGTAATAATAGAATAAATACAAATAATACATAAATCAATTTATAAATGATGATAAAGCGTTATGCAAACAAAATAAAACCAAACTTCATTTGACAAAATATAATGATAAATAAAAAAGAATATTTGGAAACATGCAATTTGATAACACTTAAAGGTGGGGTAGGTCATTTTGGAGAAAGCAGCTCGAGTGCGCTAGAATTTGAAAATACACAGCCAGAAAAAATCTACCCCTTCCTTCAGACTTCCTTACAGAGCCCCTCCTCCAACACACACGAACGCACACATGACCAATGAGGGCACGAGATAAGTTTGTGCACAGATGGAAGGCTGACAGGCAGGTAGGCCATCCAGTTATTTTAGCCGGGCCGGCTCAGATGATTGGTCGTGCTTTTTACAGTACTAAAAAAAAAAGCGTCTAACAAGTAACATGTTAATGGTGTTTGCAGCCCGTTGAATCATTGGATATTCCCTCTCTCATGATGACTGTTTCCACTCCATCCTTTTGTTAAAGCCCACACATATGGCCTAAATCCCCCGAATACCCCTCTCACATAAACTTAATTCCAACCAACACACCACCGACATCTTCAAAAGGAGCAACAAAGATTATCCGTCATCCATTTTGTTATGGATTTTTTGTCAAAGCACTTCAGATATTCATTGCTATCGGGATGTTAAGAGCATTCAATGGAATATAACAACAAGTGTATCTAAAATAAATGACATACCCCACCTTTAATTATTGTGCTACTTTTTGGAAGGGCATGTAAATACACTGTATTCTAGCAACAGTTTGTGCTAATTGTGCTGTGCTGAAACAGGTTACACAAGTGTACAAATATGATTGATCTGATGTGTATTGATCATGTGACTTTGTACCTGCAGAAGCTTTCTCCGAGGAGCTGAACTCTGCTGACTGCAGCTGAAAACAAACAGGAACGTGTTAGTCACCGTGCTCAGTACACTTTGCTGTGATTGGACGATTGTGTTCAGCAGGACTCACCCTGGACAGGCCGCTCTTAGAGGATGCTGGGAAATACACAGACTTAGAGCCGCTGGACCCTGAAGAGGGGAGGTTAATGGGATGTATTCAATAAAGTGAGCTTCAAAACATCAAAGGCTGCTTTCAAAATATTTTGATGGCTTTAATTTTCATGTAAAACCTTTCAATTTCTGCATTACCTTTAACATTATTTGTAATATTAGTCATTCGTAATAATGTAAAGGTCCTGACAAAACAAATACGTGGAGTAGGGCTCTGGGTCATTTATTTATTAAGCTATGACGCAATCATTTTTTTTTTTAAATAGTTAGAAATAAGCATTTTCTTACAGTGAAATCCTGCTTTTACATTTAAGCATGAGTAATAATAATTAAATGATATTACATATAATAGTAACTGTCACAGGGGACATTTCAAACATTTTAATAATTTAAATATACTTACATACTTTCAGAGCATCCAAGAACACTTTCAATAGTACACTCTTTTATGTGATGTTATTGTTTTATTTTGTATTAATCTATGTGTTTTTGTTTGATATGTTCTATCTGTGTTTATGTTTAGATGCTGTTGTTTACTTCACTTGCTCTTTGTGTATTTTTATGAGAAAGCACTTTCCCATTTTTGGAAAGGTGCTATATAAATAAAGTGTATTATTATTATTATTATTATTATTATTATTATTATTATTATTATTATTATTATTATTATTATAAAAAACTCATTTAAAATATATTTTTAATTATTTCACCACAATATATGAAGTTGTTATATAAAATGTAAACGCTGTACACAGATACAAAATAAAAGTCAACTTTAACCCTCACCAACCTGAAAGTTAATGATTGTGTTGCATTCATTGAAGTAAAATGTAACTGGAACGCTTTTTAATGTAAAGTGGCTGCAGTCATCCTGACCACTAGGTGTCACCACAGCTGTTTCTTCTTCAGACTCAAGGTAATAAACTACCGAGTATTTGTGTGTATGAGTGTTGGACAATGTGAACATTATGCTACTCTATTATTTATTAAAGGGCTGACTTGGTTTTAGGTTAGAGTTCAAAAGGGTGTGTCAGTGAGGGTGACACGTGTGTGTGCTGTACCAGTGTTTTTGCTGCTTTCGGGTAATGAGCGACTTTTCCTCCTCAGAGGAGTTGCAGACTTGTCCAGCTCCTCCTTCAGGATGATTTTTCCCAGGTTTGACTGAATCTAAAGAGAGAGACAGAAATATATCTGATAAATGAAGGGGACTGAACAAATACCACAAGGCTTATATTTAAGTTACAGTACCAATGGCAGCTCTAGACCCATTTGACTGGGGGGGCTTGCTGGGGCCAGTTATTGAATGAGAGGGGCACATTTAATGCTGGACAAGTGAGACAAAGACAGAGTCAACATTTCAACTTGTTCAGGTCAGTATAAAGTCATAGCGGACAAAAAAAACATAAAATACCATTATTATTATTTTGTTTGAAAACAGAATTTGTGTCAATGACTTGGTTACAATTTTATTTTTAGTAATTAGTTCATCATTAACTTAAATGCAGTTTGGGGAAATAAATACATTACTTGTGCAGCCAAAGTTTTTATTTTATTCCTTAATATTTGTTTTAGTAACTTAGTTTCTATTTATTTAATTACATTAATGAAAAAAACCATTATTGTTATCTTAGGCCCAGGTTATAGCTCAGTATTGGCTGCAACACTATCACAAATGCCATGTGTTCTTTTGAAAGGGGGGCCACATGGGGGTCCAAGCACACTGGCCCTTGTTGGCCCCTCCCCCAGAACCGCTAATGTACAGTACCTTGTTGAGTTCTTGTTTCTGAAGCGCTCTCAGTCCCCACACCTCATCATCCTCCTCCTCCTCCTCTGCTTCCTCCCCCTGATCCTTCTTCCTCAACTCTTTCTCTAGAGGAGAGGGGATTGGTCGGATTAATACATGAAGCATGTACAGTAAGGGTTTAAAGCTTTAAGAGTTTTTAAATCAAAAATGTATCTTAATATATCCGGAATACAGCATGGAGTTTTCAGTGTCGTACCAATAACAGCCACGGAGGGGGGGCAGGGCCAGTACTCGGTCTCTATCTTGGAGGGCAGGTTGGGGTCCGGAGGCTGAGCTGCTGGAAACTTTGAAGACTCTATGATCAGATCCTCAATGTGTTTCCCCTGAGGGAGCTGAGAGGACACACACACTTCTGTACACACACACACACACACACACACACACACACACACACACACACACACACACACACACACACACACACACACACACCACTACACACACACACACACACACACACACACACACACACACACACACACACACACACACACACAGCAGGTTAAAGCTGATTATATGGAATCATGTCTTTGGTCTGTCTCTCAGATATATTCTTACTTTATCATATTAGACACATTTTTAAATATAAGTAGGAACATTTCGCTTCTTGTATCCATTGTAACTTTCATAATTTGTCAGAAAGGAAAGACATACTTTTGGAAATGATGCATATTAACAAACATATGATGATCTTATAATATGATGCTTTGCTGTGTAAAACTAGTATGTTCTTGAATGCAGTACTTTTATGGTAGTGGACTATTTTACAGTCTGGTATTAGTACTTTTATTTTAGTAAAGCATCTGCATTATTCTTCTACATCTGGCTAAAAAGCTCATAGTTAAAATCATGAGGAAATGAAAAACACATTTTCCATGTGTTAATGTATCTCTTGCTAAATGTGTGTCAAATAAACAAAGGTCATTTCGTTTTGACTGACTGAGTTCTGAGGGGGTCACTTTCAGTAGATTTAAATGGCAGTACCTTGTTTGTAGATTGGAGGCTTTTTATAGAGGTTGGAGCCATTATCTGAAAGAGAGACAAGAAGGAGTACGGGAAAGAGACGAGTAAGAGGAAAATAAATCAGGCCATTCTTGCTTTATAATAAAAACAAATAGCATGAACAAAATGTTTGATAAAGATCCCTTAAGTTTAAGTTTGGTTAAGAATAATGCCAGCATTTGACAGTGTAAACATCAACCTCTCTTTGCTGGACCTTTCTGTGAGGAAGACTCTGTTTCTGTTACGCATCGGCCCAGATATGCACTGATCTTTCTGCATGAAGATGAGATCAAATGTTTTGTTTGTATCAAATGAATGATATCAAAGTCATTACCTGGCCTGTGGAAGTGCTGCAGGGCGCCCTTGGCAACAGAGGAGTGTACGGTGTGAGGCGTGTTTGGCGTGTCTGGTGTTGGTGGTGTTCGTGTGCTGTGTGTACTGCTGGTCTGGATGGTGGAACAAGGGGAGGAACATCCAGGAGACCGGTTCTCCAGCCACTCCCTGGACTCCTTCTGGAAACACAGAGGAACACAGGAGTCAGACAGATGTGTGTGTGTGTGTGTGTGTGTGTGTGTGTGTGTGTGTGTGTGTGTGTGTGTGTGTGTGTGTGTGTGTGTGTGTGTGTGTGTGTGTGTGTGTGTGTGTGTGTGTGTGTGTGTGTGTGTGTGTTTCTATTTACTGGCCAATCCCGGGAAGGATCTTTACACTTGCGGTGATGAGGATAAGGGTTTCTATACAAAACTATGAAAACCTATTGTGCCCGGCCAAACTTCAGGACATTTTCCCACACTGCACTGCTTCTCCGCTCCCTTCACTGGCTGCCATTGGCTGCCTGAATCCGCTTCAACACACTGGTACTGGCTTACTGTCCTGTGAAGGCATCCTGTCCTTCCTAGGATGTGCCTTTTGCTCTGCATCAGCCAATCAGCTTGCTACTCCTTCACTTGTTGGACCCAGGTTCCCTCAACTAAAACACGCGTTTGCTATCCTGGCTCCAAAACTGTGGAAGAGCTCCCTATTCATATCAGGACAGCAGAAAGTCTGCATATATTCTGTTGCAAATTAAAAACCCACCTGTTTCGCTTTTACCTTGGCCATTCAATTAAAAATTAAAAACTGAATATTGAGCACTTCATCAGTTAAGCCCTTTTAAAACTGACGCACTGGCACTTACAATGGTTTGTCTTTTTGAAGTGAATAACTGCTCTTTTCTTGTTGTGGTTTATTGCACTTATTGCAAGTGCTTTGGATAAAAATGTCAGTCAAATGCAATGTAATGAAATGAGATGAGGACGAGTGTGTTTGTGTGTGAAAATCAATATTCACATTTATCACATCTATTGGAACAGAGCAGGTAAAAAGGTGTGCTGTCTCTGTGGGGGCCTTCATCAAACCAAGGTCATACACATTTAAGGGGGCTTTATTTACAGAATTTTAAGGGGTTTTTCAGCAATGCTACCGTATATGACAATAACTAAATAAAAGCATCTGTTCATTATGTTCATCTATTCACTTCCTGATTGTCCCAACAGGTGTTTTTAGACGTGGGTATAACAGTGATAGCTTCAAACCTTCAGATCATTTGTAGAGAGGAAGGGGTCTTACCTCAGGGGAGGGTGGAGGAGAGAAGGAGCGAGGAGACAAGGACCTCTAAGGGAGGAAAGAACATACTGTATAAATAGATTAAAAATACTCAAACATATAAATAGATTCAGAAAAGCTGCACATAAAACAACAGAAAACATTTGTTTTTCCTCGAGGAGACAAGAACCAACCGACAGTGTGTGGTAGTTGTATCATAAAGTCAGTTCTTTATTTGCTGTCCTTTGGAAAACATTAATAATTGTACTAAACAAACGTTGTGAAGGTATCATGTATGGCTCTGGGTAATTTGTGGCAGCCTTTTTCACTATTTTGACAGTTTTTACAAACCGAACATTCAATCAATGAATGGAGAAATTAGTCATAATTGATCCATTAAAAAAAATTATCTTTAGTTAAACATTTAAAATGAAAGAAAAGTACTGCTTTTACATTTACATCACACACACACACACACACACACACACACACACACACACACACACACACACACACACACACACACACACACACACACACACACACACACACTCCGGGTCTCTGTGGTAATGAGCTGTCCGGTTTCTAAGCAGCAGATTGATGTCCCGAGTCGAGTCAGACGCAGAGCTAACCGACCGACTAACTAAGCGCCTGTCACACCAGCGTCTGTCTGCTTCTAACATCTCAACATCCCATAATGCATTATTCTTATCGTCATTAAATCTCATGTTCTCCAACTATGATAGACCGTGTCTTAATATTTAAGTCTTAAAGTTAAAGCCCTACTGAAGACATTCATCTTTAAAAACATAAATATCTATTTTTTTTTAAAAAGATTGGCAAAAAAACAAGAGATGATTTTTAATGATAGTAAGTAGACGAGGAGACAGACAGTAGAAAGAGGCCAGGAAAAGACTGAAGACAGGAGACAGACAAGAGAAAGACAAAAGGGACATACAGTGAGAGACAGAGAAGGACAGCTGACAAACAGGAGATAAAAGACTGTACGCGGATGAGAGAGTCACAGGAGACAGACAGACAGACGGGCGTTTTTTCATCATCAAAAAGCATTTGTTTGAGACTTTTTTCATAGTCAATGAAGACAAATCTTCACCAAATTGACAACACATCCACCGGGTTTACTAAAATTGCTACAACAAAAAGCTGCAAATACAAAACGCTGCGAGAAGCTAAAAACACAACGGGAACCAGGGGACAATTAAAAGTGATGCACGCAGCTGGGACCGGAGCGCTTGTTGATGTTCGGGGATTATAAAGTTGGCTGCCACTGGAAACGCACCTACATTTGATTATCATGATTCAGGATTCCTTCCGACATTATAACAGATCTGCTGTAAGCCAGCTAGCTAATGTAGCTAACCTAGTTATTTCAAATATACTGACAAATTACTTTTTTACTTTTTTATATATCAAAATTATGAAACAGGCTAACTGTGCCAACACCGACAACTTTATTATACAAGAGCGCCAACAAGCGCTCTGGTCCCAGCTGTGTGCGTCACCTTTTAGTGTCCCCGTTTCAGTTGTGTTTTGAGCTTCTTGCAGCGTTTCGTTAATGCAGCGCTTTCTGTAAACCCTGCGCATGTTTCGTTAAGTTTGCTAAAATGTTATGCCATTTGTATATGTTTTGGCACATTTGTGTTTTTATATTTGCATTGCTTTTAAAACTGAAGCGTGTGTTTCCTAATCAGAGTGTGTTGGGCTGTTGTAGCGCGATTGCACCTGTCGGCCACCGTACATATGGCACAGAAGAAGATATTTCAGACTTGATTGACACCCAGTAGTTGTTAATGATACATTTAGTGTTGATTTGGGTCCGAACATGAAGGAAGATATTGAATATCACTAGACTACAGTGAAAACAGGACTTCCCACCTCCAGAGGACTGTAGCTGTAGTGGCTTTGGTAGATCATCAGGTCTGGTCTCTCTATGTCCAGGATGGCTTTGTCTCTAGGTAACGCTGCCAGGTCCTTATAGCCGATAACCCCGTCCTCCACTCTGGCCTATAGTAAGAGAGGGGGCAGATTACAGATTACTGCCTCAAGATTAATCTAAAGGATAATATAGCTTGATTTGTGTGTGGGGGTGTGTCTCACCACGATGGCCGCAGCAGGGGATCCTGGGACGCTGGACCCTCTTAGCGACAAGACACTCCCAGGAGACGTCTGAGCCAGCTGCTGCTCACACACACACACACACACACACACACACACACACACACACACACACACACACACACACACACACACACACACACACACACACACACACACACACACACACACACACACACACACACAGAGGTCAGAGTTCAACCAAAAACTGATATTCCGCCAAATTGAAAAGGACTTCAGCTAATGAAGGAATCGATCCTTTAGGTTTCTGCTCAGTGAGATCACCACTCAGAGGTTTTTCTATTTCTGCCCAAATACTTGATTTAGTATCATAAGGAAATACATGTTCTGATTGGTCTAAAGGTTTGAAATCTAGTATGGCCATACTTTTGCCAAACGATCCAACAGTTCAACATTAAAATGTTAAATCATACAGAAAAATCCCCCAATTTTACCAAAAGTAAAAGTCAGGTTGTCTTAAAAAAAAAAAATGATACCACTGTCTGAATTTTATGTATTTTATTTGAAAAATAGTTTAGACTCCATATGTTTGACATCCATCTTGTTCAGTTTATAGGTATCAAATACCTGTCGTTTCTGAAATGTGGGCGATTACATAAAGACATTGCATGGACGATGGTAGTGACGTGATTAATACAAAATGTGCATAGACTTCTGCATGACGCTGTGTGTTGAAAGCCAATCAGCATTTGAGATTGTCCTGACGACACTGATGTTGTTGAAGCAGAAATTGAGGAAAAGTTTTCATGGTTGTCTGTGGGCAACTTTGAGTATTAGAAACATTTCCATTTTGGTCAGGTTAGTTTTCTATATCTCTTATGTATATTTGTATCTTTTTGAACTTCTGGTCCAAATAGCTGTCTAATTTTAATCACTTTAAACTGTTTTAATGAATCCAAAATCATCATAATCTTTAGAAATTGTAATACGAATAAATACATTTCAAATAAATACTGCAACAATTTTATCTGCACTGTCTTGTCTTTATACGACTCAAAGTGGAATGACCCGTCCTACCAAAGCAGCATCCTTGACTTTGAGAAACCCCCAAAGTCTGTAAAGTAATCAAAGTCCCTGACCACATCATATTATAACAAATAAGTTCTGTTTTAAGAAAGGATGGTTATTTGAGAAAAACATCAGTATCAATATATCATTTTCTGCTCTAAGGCTCAGCGTGTAGGAACTAAATATAGTAATCTCAGAGATATTAGGACTCTTCTTCCCACACAGATCACACATCTCTAAAGTGCATAATGTGAAGACCTTTCAAAGCGTTTTTTTCCCCATAAATATCACACCTACTGTAAGTGAAAGCAGTGTTTACCTTGGGCATCATCCTGACTGCTGATTGGTCAGTTCCTTAGGGAGAGAAACAGACGAAACATGGTATTATCCCACAGATATTACTAAATATCTATAATATTACTCCTTTTCACAGGAGTGTGTGTGTGTGTGTGTGTGTGTGTGTGTGTGTGTGTGTGTGTGTGTGTGTGTGTGGGGATACATCCAAAGTTAAAGCAAAGACTATAGATCAGGCAACAGTATGCAGGTCTGAACAGTGACACTAGGCTGAAGTGTCAATAACTCTGTGTGTCCACACCAGAGATTGGTCCAGGATGTTGTTTAACCCAGTTTAGCATGGCAATGTGTATTTTGCTCTTTAAAGCTATATTGTAAAGGCTGTTTGGTCAATTACAAGACAGAGATTAGACATGATTTGGTAACACTTTGTATTAAGGTACACAAATTCACCATCAACTAGTTGTTCATTACCATGCATATTAGCAGTATATTGGCTCTTTATTAGTGATTATAAAACACTTATTCATGCTTTATTCTACATGACCGTATTCTACAAGTAATAGGCCATTTGTTGAGAGTTTTTCATCAATAACCCTCTAATTAGTGCTTATTTATTGCAAGTAAGGAAGTTGTTGTACATGAGTTTTGGTCTTAATATGCTCTGCTCAATATGGGCCTAATAAGGCAGCAATACCACAAGAATAGGAATTCTCCCATAGTAACACTTAACAAATCTGATCTATTCTTATGTAACAAGACATGAAACTATAAGTTTTAAAGGTAGGGTAGGTAATTCACTTCAGAAACACTTTTTGTTATATTCCATGGAATGCTCTTAACATCCCGATAGCAATGGATAAATGAAATGCTTTGACAATAAATACATACAAATGTTTCATCTGTGGAAGCTGTGGCGCTGTAAAAAGCAAGTCCAATTATCTGCCCCGGCCCGCGGTAAATAATTGGATGGCCTGCCTGCCTGTGAGCCTTCCATCTCGTGCACAAACTTATCTCGTGCCCTCATTGGTCATGTGCGCGTTCGTGCGTGTTGGACGAGGGGCTCTGTAAGGAAGTCTGAAGGAAGGGGCAGATTTATTTTGGTTGTGTATTTTCAAATTCTAGCACACTCGAGCTGGTTTCTCCATTCTTACCTACCCTACCTTTAATTGTGTCTAAATAACAAAAAAATTGGTATTTCTTTCTAAGAATATGTTTTGGGGTATTGACAGTTCAGCTACCAATGGCAAGGTGATATTGACCTGTATGTTTCATATTTGCACATTTATATTTTTGTAACATTTGTACTGAAGGTTAGACAGGAAACCGGGTACAGGAAGTAGGAGAAAGTGAACTGAATAGCATGGCAGTAGACATAGGCGGCGCGTGAGGCTCAGGTTTGGGATTGCTAAATAACTTTTTTTACCTGACGCTGCCCGCCTTTTCTTATCAAGCTCCACATTTGTGGAATCAGCTTCCAGTTTGTGTTCGGGCGGCAGACACCCTATCCATTTTTAAGAGTGCGCTTAAGACCTTCCTTTTTGATAAAGCTTATAGTTAGGGCTGATTAGATTCAGCCCCTAGTTTTGCTGATATAGGCTTAGTTTGTCGGGGGACATCTTACTACTTCCTTCTCTCTGTCTATACCTGTGTACTCTCATGTTCCGATTAACCCATCCATCCATCCATCCATCTTCTCCCGCTTATCCGTGGTCGGGTCGCGGGGGTAGCAGTTCCAGCAGAGAGCCCCAAACTTTATTTTCCCTGGCGACATCAACCAGCTCTGACTGAGGGATCCCAAGGCGCTCCCAGGCCAGCGAAGAGATATAATCCCTCCACCTGGTCCTAGGTCTACCCCTTGGTCTCTTCCCAGCTGGACGTGCCTGGAACACCTCCCTAGGGAGGCGCCCAGGTGGCATCCTAACTAGGTGCCCGAACCACCTCAACTGGCTCCTTTCGACGCGAAGGAGGAGCGGCTCAACTCCGAGTCCGTCCCTGATGACCGAACTTCTCACCTTATCCCTAAGGGAGACACCAGCCACCCTGCGGAGAAAACCCATCTCGGCCGCTTGTATCCGCGATCTCGTTCTTTCGGTCATGACCCATCCTTCATGACCATAGGTGAGGGTAGGAACGAAAATGGCCCGGTAGACAGAGAGCTTTGCCTTCTGGCTCAGCTCCCTTTTCGTCACAACGGTGCGGTAAAGTGACTGCAGTACCGCTCCCGCTGCTCCGATTCTCCGGCCCATCTCACGCTCCATTGTTCCCTCACTCGAGAACAAGACCCCGAGATACTTGAACTCCTTCACTTGGGGTAAGGACTCATTCCCTACTTGAAGTGGACAGTCCATCGGTTTCCTGCTGAGAACCATGGCCTCAGATTTGGAGGTGCTGATCCTCATCCCAGCCGCTTCACACTCGGTTGCGAACCGATCCAGTGAGTGCTGAAGGTCGCAGACCGATGAAGCCATTAGAACCACATCATCTGCAAAAAGCAGTGGTGCAATCCTTAGTCCACCGAACTGCAGACCCTCTCCCCCATGACTACGCCTCGAAATCCGATCCATGTATATTACAAACAGGATTGGTGACAAAGCGCAGCCCTGGCGGAGGCCAACCCTCACCGGAAATGGGTCCGACTTACTGCAGAGGACCCGGACACAGCTCTCGCTTTGGGAGTACAGAGATTGGATGGCCCTGAATAGAGACCCCCTCACCCCATACTCCCGCAGCACCTCCCACAGTAACTCGGAACTCGGTCATACGCCTTCTCCAAGTCTACAAAACACATGTAGACCGGATAAGCGTACTCCCAGGCCCCCTCCAGGATCCTTGCGAGAGTAAAAAGCTGATCCGTCGTTCCACGACCAGGACGGAATCCGCATTGTTCCTCCTCAATCTGAGGTTCGACAATCGGCCTGACCCTCCTTTCGAGTACCTTAGAGTAAACTTTCCCGGGGAGGCTGAGTAGTGTGATGCCTCTGTAATTGGCACACACCCTCTGATCCCCCTTTTTAAAAAGGGGAACCACCACCCCGGTCTGCCACTCCTTCGGTACTGTTTCCGACTTCCACGCAACGTTGATGAGACGTGTCAACCATGACAGTCCCTCAACACCCAGAGCCTTCAGCATTTCCGGGCGGATCTCATCCACCCCCGGGGCTTTGCCACTGTGGAGTTGTTTGACGACCTCAGTGACCTCCCCCCGGGAGATTGGTGTTGATCCCCCGTCATACTCCAGCTCTGCCTCTAACATAGAGGGCGGAGTTGTCGGGTTCAGGAGTTCCTCAAAGTGTTCCTTCCAACGCCCTAACACTCCATCAGTTGAGATCAACAACGTCCCATCCTTACTGTACACAGCTTGGATGGTTCCCTGCTTCCCCCTCCTGAGGTGTCGGACAGTTTTCCAGAACAACTTTGGTGCCGACCGAAAGTCCTTCTCCATGTCTTCTCCGAACTTCTCCCACACCCGCTGCTTTGCCTCGGCCGCTGAGGCTGCTGCCCTTCGGGCCTGTCGGTACCTTGCAACTGCCTCGGGAGTCCCCCGGGATAACAAATCACTGAAGGCCTCCTTCTTCAGTCGGACGGCTTCCCTGACCACCGGTGTCCACCAGGAGGTTCGAGGGTTACCGCCCCTTGAGGCACCTAGGACCTTGAGACCACAGCTCCCCGCCGCGGCTTCGGCAATAGAGGCTTTGAACACCGACCACTCTGGTTCAATGTCCCCAACCTCCACAGGAATGCCCGAAAAGCTCCGCCGGAGGTGTGAGTTGAAGGCCTCCTGAACTTGGGCCTCCTCCAGACGTTCCCAGTTCACCCGAACTACACGTTTGGGTTTACCAGGTCTATCCAGAGGCTTCCCCCGCCACTCGACCCAACTCACCACCAGATGGTGATCAGTTGACAACTCCGCCCCTCTCTTTACCCGAGTGTCCAAAACATACGGCCTCAGGTCCGATGATACGATAACGAAATCGATCATGGACCTTCTGACTAGGGTGCTCTGGTACCACGTACACTTATGAGCATCCTTATGTTCGAACATGGTGTTTGTTATGGCCAATCCATGACTAGCACAGAAGTCCAGTAACAAACCACCACTCTGGTTCAGATCAGGGGGGCCGTTCCTCCCAATCACGCCCCTCCAAGTGTCTCCATCATTGCCCACATGTGCGTTGAAGTCTCCCAGCAAGATTAAAGAGTCCCCTTCAGGAGCCCCATACAGGACTCTTTCCAGGGTCTCCAAGAAGGCCGTATACTCTGAACTGCTGTTGGGTGCATAAGTCCGATTAACCCAGCTTCCCCAAATGTCTTTCTTTTTGGTGTCTATATACGCCGGGATCCGGAGTCATGGATGATCCTGTTGCTGCGGTCCTGGATCGCGAGCCCTGGATCTTGAGTCGTGGCTGTGGTCCTGGATCATAGGTCCTGGATGGATATCCTCGTGGATTCATCTTCCTATTATACACACATGCATTTCCAAACATTTGGACTACCTATGTTGCAAATGTATTATCTTTTCAATTTACACACGGCATCTATTGCACGTCTGTCCGTCCTGGGAGAGGGATCCCTCCTCTGTTGCTCTCCCTGAGGTTTCTCCCATGTTCCCCTTTAAACTGTGGGTTTTCTCCGGAAGTTTTTCCTTGTACGATGTGAGGGTCTAAGGACAGAGGGTGTCGTATTGTCATACTGATATTCTGTACACACTGTGAAGTCCACTGAGACAAATGTAACATTTGTGATATTGGGCTATATAAATAAACATTGATTGATTGATTGATTGAGGTGTGAGTGCAATATACCGGCGGGCCAGATCTAATAGTAATTAGAAATTATCCTGCGGGCCGAAATTAAATCCATCAAGGGCCTGATTTGGCCCCTGGGCCTTGAGTTTGACACATGTGGTCTAAGGACAGAGGGTGTCGTATTGTCATACTGATATTCTGTACAAACTGTGTGGTCCACTGAGACAAATGTAACATTATTTAGACTTCATTAACACTTATAGTTTCATGTCTTGTTACATAAGAATAGATCATATTTGTTAAAGGTCCCATGACATGGCCATTTCTACTGATCATAATTCCATTGTTGAGGTCTACTAAAATAGCTTTATATTGTGCAATGTTCCAAACTCACATTGGTTTCTCATACAGCATCTCTGTGTATAGTATGTGTATTCACTCTCTGTCCTAAATGGCTTGTTGGAGCTCCTGCCCCCCCTCCCTGTGAGCCCACTGTGCTCTGATTGGTCAGCTCGCCCACTCTATTCTGATGAGTCCACCACCGTTACAGCGGAACATCAGTGATTATGTGTTACAATGGCGTTAACAACCAGAAAATGACACCAGTAATGACAAACAGCTGAGAATGCTGCGTGGGGTCTGGGTGCCGTGTTGGCGGGACGTTGCGAGGCTCGCTGCTGTGAGCAGGGCACAGTGTGAGCTCTATTACTGGTGTCGTTTCCTGGTTGCTGCTTGGGGTCTGCGAGACAGCGAGCCATCGTAAAACTTAGCCTGAACTCAGCCTGAGCACCATGGACGCGGGAAGGGGGGGTGCTGAGGGGGCTGCAGCACCCCCATCTGTGAGGCTCCACTAGCAAAAGCGTAAATCCTATTAACATAGCTTTTATTTCAGCTCAACTGTTATCTCAATAATTAATCTCATGTTATTAAGTGTAATCATGTTGTTATTACAGTATCAGCAAAAATAAAATGGAACAATCAGGGGCTGATGTTTACGTTAAATTAGTTGTACGCTAGTAACGTTTAAGAGTAAAAATCCAACCCAACAACTCAACTTTTTTTGTAGCTAACACTTCGCAATGTAAGTTTAGCATGGCGCTGATTAAACGTAGCTAGTGCTACAGCAACTGCTAACAAGCCTCCATCTGTGTCATATTGTGAATTGAACTAAGCAGAAAAACTGTTTATGCATGAGGAATGTGTGAAGGGAACGATACCTTCCTCTTGGCAAAAAGAATAGCACATCTGTCAACAAACTGTTTAATTAATGCAAGAAAATGCTTGGAGTTGTTGGAAAATGGAGGCTAGCAGTTTCCTCCTGCTTCCAGTTTTTATGCTAAACTAGGCTAACCCCATCCTGGACCTTTCCCTGTCCTTTACCTTAAACATCTGGATATGTGAAATGTTATATCTGAATAACAATGTTTTTTGCTCAGATTAGTGTGTGTTTCTTGTGAATCTTAGACAGTTAATAGCAATTTCAGTTTGCTGGGTTGCCAGTTCTGCATTGTCAAATGTGACTGAGGGACACAAAGGGATTATTCCAGAGTCCACAGCTTTGTCCAACAGACACCCACACATAGAAGAGTGGGTAACATGCGGTCAGTAACAGGAAACACCCTGCACACACTCGCAATACCATTTGGTGTGTGTATTTATACCTCAGGGAGAATAGGGGATCATTTCTGTATCTGTTGTCTTCAGGGCTCTGGAGCCAGATCAACACCTGAAAAATACACACATATTCAATAAATATGTATTCTAAATTAGAGGATTAACCCCTTGAGATCCACCATATTGTTATTATAGCAAAAAAACATGAATATCAACATATTTCCAAAATACAGAAATTAACACAGATACAATTTGCAGATTTAAAAAACAACCTCCAGCTGTTTACAGCTGCAGCAGGACTATCATAGTTACTGTATGTAGTTATCTAGAAGTAAATGGGGAGTGGGGATGCAATCGTATGTGATGACACCCCTTTGATTCATCAACTGCTGCTTGTTCTATGCCTTTCTCATAACTGTATTAGGTTAGTTGGTTTAAAGCAATACTATTAAGTTTAAATAAAAAATATTAGGTTCAACTGACAGGTGTGTAATGTAAAGAATGACCCAGATTGCTGATGAAGAGTTTTCTCGTAATGTTTCCATATTTCTGTCTACGATGTTTCAGATTTTATGCAGACTCTCTGTCTGTGTCTAACCCTCCTGTATTGATCTCGGCTGGCGTCTAATGTCCCTGACATTTAAATTCTTAATTTGTTGATATGTGGTTGACTGGTTGAATGTACTTTTGCAAAATGTATTTTCAGATGCAAATGGGAAGATAGGGTAAGACAGGGTATTCTTATTTTCTCTGTATGATTAGTCAATGTCAAATGATTGTTGTGGCTGTAGAGAGAAGCCTTTTTCTGAGAGACACCAAAGTGCTGTTATGTCCTAAGAAACGTAACAGTAGCAGCCTCCCTACATCATGTTTGGAACAGCAAATTCCAGAGAAGAATAACATGTCCCCAGGGACAGATCAATTACAAGCTAATGGCTCCTGCTGATCAATCATCTGGTCGAAAACACTGGAGGAATCTGATATATAAGATTGTCTTCTCCACAGCAGAGCTGCCATTTGTCCACAGTCAGAATGTAACAGAAAGTATTTACTCAATTACAGTTTGTAAGTGTAAGTATACTATAGTCTTTAAAAGAGGACAGATCGGATTCATATTCATATTTTATTCTTTTACTGTGACATTTTAATGTTCAAAAAGCTCTTTATGTTTCTCATACTGCCTGTGCTGCAGCACCTCTTTTCACCCTTTGTCTGAAACCAGAGCCCAGTGTGCTCTGATTGGTTAGCTGGCCGGCATGGGCGGCGGGTACTGTAGGCTAGGGAAGGCTAAGCCTTCCCAAATATTTGTGTCACTGCATCCTGGTAAAATAAAAATATAATGTGCATGTTTGTGTCTTTGACATTTGCGCTTCTATGCAGCCACCTGTGCCCTGTTCTACGAAGCCAGTTCAACAGACCCTATTTGAGTTATCTTCACTAACCCTAACAAACGAGATCTCGCTAAGCGGTCCTACAACGCTGGTTATCAACTCGATAAATCAAGCCAGGGTTTCTCTCTCCAGCTGAGAACGTGTTCACGTGAAAGGGGCGGGGTTAGCTACATTTGACCAATCACAAACAGGGACAAGTGTACTGACAGCGCAGCGTCATACTTCATTAATGAAAAATAAACTAATATTAGACAAATATGAACTTTAAACATCCATGACTTAAACATATAATCCAGGATACGAGCCACAGAGTTGCACCTGCAGCAAGGTGAATACAGAACAACTGGTTAAAAAATAACTACCGAGTGTTTGAAAGCGTACAACAGTTTTATGATATCACTGCCCCATCTATCTAAGACACGAGTGGATCTGACTTTAATTACATTTGAGTTGAGTGTTTCGTCAAATTAATGTGTTGCTTAAAATAATACGTCTGCATATGTGACACTGTAAGTGTTGCACGGCCAGATACGGCTGGAGAAGCTGACTCAGATAAGGAAATATGATATATTATGATATTATGATCGATGATCTGATTGATGATGTGATATCAGTGTGATATGAATGATAAGTGCGACACGTCGGCGTC